CATTGGTCCAGTAGATATGCTTGTTAAGTTAGTTAAAAACACAGATTTGCTTTAGTACTCAGGCTACAAAATAATTGTTTTTCTTGTAATCTTAATTTATTTTGATAGTACAGGGGATTGAACCCAGGGCTTCATGCATGCAAAACAAGCACTCTTACCACTGATCTTCATCCCCAGACACTTTAATCGTATTTTTTTGTGGGGGGAGTGGGGCGGATTGGGTGCTGGGGACTGAATTCAGGGGCACTTGGCCACTGAGCCACATCCCCAGCCCTATTTTGTATTTTATTTAGAGACAGGGTCTCTCTCTTAGCCTAGTGCCTCACCATTGCTGAAGCTGGTTTTGAACTTGCGATTCTCCTGTCTCAGCATCCTGAACCTCTGAGATTTCAGGTGTGGACCACCACGCGCCACAATTTTAAGCCCATTTTAACAAAAAGAAATGGGTTCTTTTTTTGGGGGGGGGGAGTGTACCAGGGAGTGAACTCAGGGGCACTTGACCACTGAACCATATCCCCAGCCCTATTTTATATTTTATTTAGAGACAGGGTTTCACTGAGTTGCTCAGTAGCCTCACTTTTGCTGAGGCTGGCTTTGAACTCGCGATCCTCCTGCCTCAGTCTCCTGAGAAGTAGTTCTTTGTTGCAATCAACTAAGCTTTAGTTTAGTTTGTCTTACTCATGTATTTAGACTAAAATGGAGCACACCTGCTGTTTCATCTGTAAGGAATGTTTGCTCCTCCCCTGGGTTCTCATCCTTTATTTCTAGGAAATAGGGGGTGTTAGCAGCACTCCATGAATAATAACACTTCATGTTAGTGTCTGTCTGGACCTTACAGTTTCATTGTTCCTTAAAAAAGTGATATCCTCTCCTGAGGAAATGTTGTGGCAACTAAGCAGCAATGGATCCATGTGTAGCATTTGTAAAATGGGAATACAAAGTGGCAGTGTCTCTGCCCCTTTTCCTGCCAGGTGCTGAGTATCAAATCCATAGACTTGGTATGCTAGCAAGTGAGTTATCACCATCCCTGGTGTGTGTGTGTATTTGTTTATTTTGGTACTGGGAACTGAACCCAAGGGCATGTTACCACTGAGCTAAATCCACAGTCCTTTTTATTTTGATACAGGGTCTGGCCAAGTTGCCCAGACTAGCCTCAAACTTGGGGATCCTACTGCCTCAGCCTCCTGAGTTGCTGGGATTATAGGCACACCCCACTGTGCTTGGCCCAGGTGCTTCTTTATATTCAGGGCAAGGGCAGCGTTTTGATCCTCCTGGCAAGTATAGAGTATAGGTTCTCGGTGATGGATGGCTCAGTATCCCTTGTTAAAGTCATTAATTCACCAGCTCACTTTGGGGTTATGTTTGGGAAGTTTTATGGTACTAGAGAAGAGAATGGGTTTGGTTTTAGGGTTAGGAGGGGTTTTTTATACATGTCCAGCCACACACAAGTACACTCACCCTTTATTTTTTGGAGGCTTAAATGTCAAGTTGATGTGGTTCCAATCTCAATTCACTTTTTTTTTTGGTAGGGGTTCTTTAACACTGAGCAACATTTCTAGCCATACACTAATATACCCTCTTTTTTTGGACACAGAATCTTAGGGCCTAAGTTACTTAGGCTAGCTTCAAACTTGGAATCCTCCTGTGTCAGCCTCCCAAGTTACTGGCATTACAGGCATGCACCTCCATACCCATTTCTCTGTTTACTTCTAATAGCCATGTGGCCTCTGTTTCCTGGTCCATAAAATGGGACAAATAATGCCTGCTTCATAAAATGATTATGATACTCAAATGAGGGGACAAAGTGGGAGGCTGAGAACCTGGCTTGCTGCTAGCTTGGTAGAGGTTCACTCAGTGGTAACTGGCTCCTATTTTAATCCAACAGGATTGGTTGGCCAGATGGGTGGGCACCAGATGTTACATACTGTAGCTGATATTCCCAGGCAGGAGTGAAAGGAGACATCCATGGGACAACTTTCAACTTGTCCCATTACTGTAGCACACAGTCTGTGGTCTGGTGCAGGAATATTTTTGTAATTCCAGCATCTTTTTTTTTTTCTTCCAGTGTTGGGAATGGAAACAAGGGCTACATGCTTGCTAGGCAAGCCCACTGAGCTCTGTCCTCAGCCCTACAGTCTTCCCGATCTTCCTGAGTTGATTTCTCATTGTAAATAAATAATTTTTCTTTTACCAGTAGATTGAGAACGTGTCTTGGGAGATCAGTCACATCTCTACATATACTGACAGTTGTGTTTCTGAACCTGGGAAGATAAATAAGTAGGCCCTAGATATTGGGGGACTTCATTACAGTGGCTTCACAGTGTAGGAGCCACCAAGTACAAGCCTGACTATGGAGCATATCTCTGGTAACCTCTTCCTTATTGCATACCTCACCCATGACACTTGTCACTTCTAACTTACAGTTGTTTCTCCATGCCACACAAATTATAATAGGACTCTTGGCTGTACTGCAAACGATGTGTTGATCTTGATGTACTTTTACTGTGAGATGTGAGGCATATGCCCAGGGTGATAGTGACAGCCACAGTCTGTTAAGGAGTCTTACTCTTCAGGTTGAAGGTGAGACGCACAGTATTTACTCTATTCATGTGTGAAACATATGAAGTATAATTGGACCTCAAGTTCTGCAAAGTTTTTTCACTTACCCCTAGAAGAATTTGATTATGAAGGGTTAGTTCTTTTGCTCAGCACAGTTCTGAGAGCAGATAAGACAGAATCACTCCCCAACTCTGGTTTAAATGCTGTAATGCTGTATCTTTTTTTTTTTTTTTTTTGGTACTGGGGATTGAACCCAGGGGCATGTAACCATTGGAGCCCTTTTTTTCCTTTTTTTTTTTTTTTTTTTAAATTGTGTTTGAAAGACAGGCTCTCACTGAATTGTTTAATATCTCTCTAACTTGCTGAGGCTGGCTTTGAACTCATGATCCTCCTGCCTCAGCTTCCCAAGTCACTGGGATTACAGACATGTGCTATTGCATCTGGCTTAAATGCTGTATCTTTAGTTTCTGTGCCAGGTAATTTTATGAGGAGAGCTTTGAGAAGAGGTGAGGGAGCATTGTAGCATGATAGTGTAGCAGAAAGAAGTGAAAGGGACAGCTGTAATGATTATCTAGCCCAGCTGCTTGCCTGACAAATGGGAAATGGGAGGCCTGTACCAGCTGAGTGGCAGGCCCTTTGGTTATTGGCAGGGCCAGGGGAGAACTTAAATTCCTCAGTTTGTATGTGGGCCAGTGTAAAGTAGATCTGTAAGGAGAAAACCTTTCAAAGCCCCAGTTTATTCTGACTGCTTCTTTGGAGTATTATAATGCAGGACAGGTTTTATTATAGTATGCTTTTCTGTGTCCATTGTTTTTTCTTTCACAGCATATTTTTTGTGCTTTCAAGATTTTATTTTGTTTGTTTGTTGTGTGGAGGACTGAACCCAGGGCCTTGTATGTGCTAGGAAAATGCTGTGTCCCTGAGCTACATCCCCAGCCCTTTTTCACTTTATATTAACACAGGGTCCTGCTATGTTGCCCAGGCTGGCCTAGAACTTAAAATCCATCTGCCCCGACCTCCTGAGTTGTGCACTGCATCCTGCTGCCTTTGCCTTCAGTGTTTGAATGTTGATTTATATATCATAAAAAACATGATTTTTTTTCCACCTATGTTGAATTGTTCTTTTTGATCTTCTTTTCACTTTTTTATTTTTCCCTTATAAACATAAGAATGTTTATGATAAAACTTTGGGGATGGTGAGATGAAAGAATGCAGGAAAGCTGGTATTTGAGAACTTTTTAGACTTGCCAGTGTACAAGTTACTTTGAAAAGGTATGTGATGGAGCTGGGGATATAGCTCAGTTGGTAGAGTGTGTGCCTCGCATGCACTAGGTCCTGGGTTCAATCCCCAGCACCACACACACACACACACACACACAAAAAGTACATGTTATTTAATAGTACTATGGTTAGCATATTGAGAATAAATAATTCCAGTTTTCTTCCTGCTCAGAATTAAAATTAAGTTTAAAATTACATTCATTATTTTATAAATTCATCTTTTTAAAAAATATTTTTTTACTTGTTGGGGCTGGATATTTAGCTCAGTTGATAGAGTGCTTTCCTTGCATGCACAAGGCCTGGGTTCAAGCCCCAGCACCACAATAAATAAATAAATAAACAAATAAATAATAAAAATTAGTTGTTGATAGACCTTTATTTATTTGTATGTGGTGCTGAGAATCAAACCCAGTGCCTTACACATGCCAGGCAAGTGCGCTACCACTGAGCCACAGCCACTGCCCCAATTCATCTTTTTTTTTTTTTTTAATTCCTGTAGGTATGCTTGAATTCACAGAAAAATGTGACTCAAAGGACTGGCTAGAAATAGAGGTTTACAAACCATCTTAACGAGGGGAGGGGTCAGGATTTCAAAGGCAATTCATCTTTTAATTCAAATATTTGAACATCAGTTGTAGAAGAGACACTGTTCTAAGCATTTGTGATATGGTCAATGAAGCAAAGTCATCCCCAAGTAGCTTACATTTTAGTGGAACAGAAAGACAAGAAAGCAAATTAATAGTATATTAGGTGACAGTACATTTTATTTTAAAAATTTATTTATTGTGGTGCTTACACATGCTAGGCAAGCACTCTGCTACTTAACTAGATCCCCAGCCTGTGGTGGGGTCCATTTTATACAGGGTACTAGGGAAGAGTTCTGAAGATATAATATTTTATCCAAGACCTAAAATAGTGAAGGGAGAGAGGAACAAGTGGAACAGCCCTGAGGGACAGTAGACCCTGTTGAGGAATAGCAGTCTCTGCATGAGGTAAGGGCAGACTGCCCGAGGCCTGCTAGGGGACAGACAGGAAGGCCTTCAGATTTCCTCTTAGGTGGGATGAGAACCATCAGAGGGCTTGCGTGGGAAGGGTGGTCCTTTGCTTTGCACCATGTTACTTCCCAGTGCTTTATGCTGCTCAATCTTTTCTTGTTATAGATCGTCTATGCCGAAAGGCCTCTCACAGACAACCACAGATCATTGGCGTCTTACGGCTTGAAAGATGGGGACGTTGTGATTTTACGACAGAAGGAGAATGCAGACCCTCGGCCTTCAGTGCAGTTCCCAAGTAAGTTGGCGCCTCCTGTCTAGCATCCCCTCACGTGAGCAACAGTAGTTAGCAGAGTATAGTGGTTCTGAGTTTGGGGCTTATCATGGAGCCAGACTACTAGGGTACAGATCCTGACTCTGCTTCTTTACAACCTTGGACGTGGTTTGACTTCTAATTTGGCTTTCTCTTCTATAAGAAAGGTGCCATAATTACTTAACTCTAGCTCTTAGAGCTGAAGTGAGAATAACACCTTTGGCACGTAGCAAGCCATCAGTAAATGCTTGCTTCTGTTGTTATCAGTGATGATGATAGTCTTTTTTTTTTTCTTTGATTGGATTTTTTTAAACCATACGATTTATTTATTTATTTTTTAATCATACATGACAGCAGAATGTATTTTGACATATAATACATACATGGAATGTGTATACATCAATCATAATTTCTATTCTGCTGCCAATGATAGTCTTTATCCTGGGAGGAATTTGGGACTATGTAGCCTGTCATTCTAGTTCTCTCTTGCTGCTCTGTGTCTGGCCAACAGTGTACTGCCTTTGTGAAGCTTCTTATAGCCAGGCAGGAATTGGCATCCATGCTTCATATGCACTCATAGAACTTGGTTGTGGTCTCTCTTTACAATTTTCATCAACAGAAGAAGCTTATATTTTACATAGCTAGTAAGCAGAAGGCACAGGAATTAAAATGTGGTGCTTTTTCCATTATACCAGACTTGGTAAACTTTAAGCAGCTGAACCATCAAGTTCTGGTTCTTTCATACCAGAACTGTATTAATGATGTGAGAAGAAATTGTTATGTGTCTTGGCTGTCTGCATTTAGATTTAGAGATTTCTGTGTCCCTGAAATAACAGGCAGAATTGTGGGTATCCACCTGTACATTCTTTCAGTGGTGAGAAGATCCATAGTTTCCTTAGATACTCATGATCCACAAAATATTTATTAGATCCTTGTGTCGAATTACTTGTCGGGAGGTACTGGTTTTTTCCACTCTCTGCCATATTCTGTCACCATTCTCTAAACAGTGTTAACCAGCAGGTCACTTGGTTTTAAAGTCTGTGGTAACATATGATAGGAGTCTTGGGTGATGAGACTTAGCCTGGAACACAGTGCTTCCATTCAGCCTGAAACTGGAGCTGTGTAAGACAATTAAGCACTGACTTCTTCAGATCTGGATTGCATTAGTCCCTTGGGGCTACTGCTAAACTTTACAAAGAGTAGTCTAGGTTCAAGTATGCTAATCAACAAAAACCGAATCTTTCTTTGGTTAATTTGTTGAGGTTGTTAGTACTGGAGACTCACTGTTTTTTTTCTGTGTTGTTTCCTTGTGGACAAGACAGTCAATATGTTGTTAGTGGGAGGGATCTGGTTTACAAAGTAAACAAGTTTTTCAGAATAGTTTTGAAGTGAGTGGACTCTCAAGATAATGTGTAACGGGGGTAGAGATAAAATTTCTTGACCTGCCAAGAAGGCCCGTCCATATGTTTTGCTAGTTGGTGTAGATTAGTGACCTCACAGAGATCGTGCTGTTTTCAGTAGTTGTTGTGTCTGTCTCTCTCTCCAAAATATGCATCAGTTGAAGTCTATTTGAAGACAGTAGCTTGTTGAACTCATACTGCAAGGCCAAAATTTTAGGCCTGAGTTTAACCTGTCCTTTTTTTGTATTTGAGGTCCTTTTGCACCAGAATTTGGACAAGTTTGACCATTAAATATATTCTGGGGGGAGCTAGATGTGGTGGCAATTACCTGTAATCTCATCAATTTAGCAGGCTGAGACAGGAAGATCGCAAGTTCCTGACCTGCCTTAGCAACTTAGTGAGACCCTGCCTCAAAATAAAAAAAAAAAAATTGAAAAATGTAGATTTACTCAAGCTTGTTGCCCCATTCTAGCTTTGCTTATTTATTTTTCCTTTTTCTTCTTTTTTTATAACAGCTTTATAATTCATATACCGTATTATCCACCCAGTAAAGGATACAATTCAGTGGTTTTTAGTATATTCACAGTTGTGCAACTATCACTCTATCACTACAAGTAATTTTAGTTCATTTTTATCACCTCTACTTACTAGCAGTCTTTCATATTTTCCGGATGCTCCACAAGTCTGCTTTCTGTCTCTTTGTACGTACTCTTTCTGAACATTTTGTGCAATGTGTAGGTCTTTTATGTAAGGAATAGGGCTCCTGCACTTTTTTTTTTTTTTTAACATAATTTTTAGTTGTTGATGGACCTTTATTTTTATTTTATTTATTTGTTTGAAGTGCTGAGAATTAAACTCAGTGCCTCACACATGTGAGGTAAGAGCTCTACCACTGAGCCCTAGCCCCAGCCCTGCTCTTTCTTTTTAATAAGGTCAGCTCAGCCTAGAGTACAGCACCTGAGAATTGTAGTCTTTAAACCTGTGACAGCTTTTGGTGGACCCAGCAACAAGATCCTGTGCAGTTCCTTTTCTTCAGTTTTTCTCTCCTATAAAGTGATTATACCCACTAGCTCCAAGGTAATGAGAAGAGTAAATGGTGATGTACAGATGAGTGTATAAATTCAAAGAACTACTAAGAGCTCTTCCATTGGGCATAGTGGCTCAGGTCTCTAATGCCAGTGACTCCAGAGGCTAAAGACAGGAGTATTGCAAGTTTGAGGCCAGCCTTGAAACCTAGGGAGACTCAGTCTCAAAAAAAAAGAAAGAAAAGAAAAATAGAACTGGGCATATAGCACAATGGTAGAGTGCTGCTGGGTTTAATTCCTAGGGTAGGTTGGAGGGACTTCCCCAAATCAATGTATTTAACATAGACTTGCAGAGTTTAGCATCCAGTGTTTATGCGGTTCACTTGGTATGTATAGTGTTCTACCTCAAGTGGCAGAACTCTTTGAAGCATGTTAAACCAGACTAGGATTTTTCTCAAGACCCACATCCAGAGTTATGTAATTATATTTATTGAGACTATCTTTAATTTTCTGGAAACATAATAAATACTTGTTAACCTGGTCTGAGATAGTTTTAAGCCCAAAATTTGTGGTTACTACCATTGCCTGCTCTCCTTTCTATTCTTTCCTGTTGGTTGACTCTTAGTGAGATTCCAAGTGAGAAAAAACAATGGGGAAAGCCATTCCTATCTGCCATTACCATTGGCCACTGCATACCACATTTGAGCAAGTATTGACTGTTTCCTTTAAGTACTTGTTTTTTGGAGTCATTTGGATAAAGGTGATTGGTTTTTTGATTTTCTTCCCGCAGCAGACCTACCCCGGATAGACTTCAGTAGTATAGCCGTGCCTGGCACATCGAGCCCCCGGCAGCGCCTGCCTCAAGGAGCACAACAGCCCCACTCATCTCCTGGAGAAACGACATCCTCTCCTCAGGGCTTGGACAACCCTGCCCTGCTCCGAGACATGCTGCTGGCCAACCCACACGAGTTGTCCTTGCTGAAGGAGCGCAACCCGCCGCTGGCGGAGGCGCTGCTCAGTGGAGATCTTGGTAAGCTTCTATGTGTGGAGGGTTGGAGGTGAGGTGATTAGTTGGCCATATTGGTGGTCTTGTGTGAGGTGTGAATCAGTGCTAGTGTTCGAGGCTGCATGAAGGGCAGTAGTAGGCTCTAGAACTGAGACCCTCTGAACTGGTCTCTACTTTGTTTCTCATTGTTTTAGCAGCAGCTGAGCCAGGTTCTGATATTTTGACCTGCTCAGTTAGATCTTCAAGTTCAAGATCTCCAGGAAGTGAGCTTATCCCAGCTGAAGAGCTTTTAGTTTAGGACACCAAAATAACTCCTTCCTCAATTGATTATTTTTCAGTTGAGGTGGCCTTTACTTACAGAGAAGTACACAGATTTGAAGTTTTTAATTCACTGTGTTTTGACAAGCTATGTAACCCCAATAAGATACAGAACTTGTTGTTCACTCTAGAAAGCTCCGTTGTGTTCCCTTCTAGTCATTTTCCTCCCCCGGAGGCTGCAATGGATACTCAATATAGATTGGTTTTGTATATTTTTGAACTTGCTGTATATGTAATCATAGCATGTATGGTCCTTTGTGTTAGCTTTTTTTTTTTTTTTTTTTTTTTTAAGAGGAGAGGGAGAGAGAGAAAGAGAGAATTTTTTTTTTAATATTTATTTTTTTAGTTTTAGTTTTTCGGCGGATACAACATCTTTGTTTGTATGTGGTGCTGAGGATCGAACCTGGGCCGCATGCATGCCAGGCGATCGCGCTACCGCTTGAGCCACATCCCCAGCCCCCTTTGTGTTAGCTTTTTACTTCACTGAATTCTTGGATTTGGCCGTATTGTGTGTGCTAATAGTTCAAATGACCATGACCTTGGTTTCTTTGGTTATCACACCTAATTGCCAGAGATCAGAGACGATGGTGATAGCACATTTAAGTTTATACATTTCATGTACCACCATTTAAAAAATGGCAAAATACTTACATCTTGTTGTAGCAAGCAGTAGTTTTTTGTTTTGTTTTTCCTTTTGCTAATTTTCCTCATCAGTACACACAAAATACTGATAGACTAACATTGGTTTGCACTTAATTTATCTGGCCTAAGGCACAGTGTTACCAAGGAAATGAAGATAGAAAAAGAGAAAGGGGATTATAGAGTGCTCTGTTTTTTTCTTAGGTAACAGGATAATGAGGACAGTGGGCAGGGAGGCTTAGAGACACTTATGTGCCATTCAGATAGTCATTCCTTACTGGCTAAATTGAAAAGTTATCTGAGTAGAAACAGTACACAATGGGCAACTTGTTACAAAAATTAAAGATTTTTGATAATACTGTTTTTTCCCTTTTTCTTTTTTTAACAGTACTGGAGATTGAACCCTAGGTACTCTATCACTGAGCCAGTTTTTTTTTGTTTGTTTTGTTTTGTTCTTAACTTATATTGTGAGGCAGGACCTCACTAAGTTGCTGAGGCTGAACTTGAACTTGAGATTCTTCTGTTTTAGCCTCCTGAGTCACTGGATTGCAGGTGTGCACTATCACACCCATCTGAAAAAACTGTTTCTTTGTACTGAATTTAAATGAAGAAACAGTGATGCCTCGGAAATTCGAAAGAAAATGCTCATTTCAAAAAATTTTTAGGCATCCTGTCCATGTCTTTTTTTTTTTTTTTTTTTTTGTGTGTGTGTGTGTGTGTGTGGTCCTGGGGATTGAACCCAGGGGATTCAAGGCAAGCACTTTACCAACTGAGCTATATCCCCAGCCCCTCTGTTCACATCTTTTACAGTCGAATTTTGAGAAATTGTTTAGTGTGGGCTAGATATGGTGGCCGCAAACCTGTAATTTCAGCTGCGTAGGAGGCTGCGGTAGGAGGATCACAAGTTTAAGACTGGCCTGGGCAAGTTAGCAAGACCACTATCTTAAAATGGATGAGGATATAGCTACGTGGTAGAGCAACCCTGGGTTTACTTCCCAGTACCACTCAAATAAAAAATTGGTGTGGAAAATTACTGGTAAATAATGCAAATAGAGTGCAGCTTAAGATTTTTTCTCCCTTATTTTTGAAGAGAAATTTTCCAGGGTTCTAGTAGAGCAGCAGCAGGACCGAGCCCGGAGAGAACAAGAAAGAATTCGTCTCTTTTCTGCTGACCCCTTTGATCTTGAAGCTCAGGCAAAGATAGAAGAAGATATAAGGTAATGATCTGTTCACCTTAAGAGCAAGCCTCAGAGCATCCGGGTTTCCCACACTGCAGGGCATCTGGCATTGGCTGGACATCTGCTTGGAGGTAGCTTCCCTGTTTCAAAGTTGAGATAATAACCTGTCTTTTAGGTAATTCTTCTATTTTCCTCACATTTTGATCCAACATTACAAAGGTCCAGGTGTCTAACTTAATGACTTTCATTTTTTCCAAGAAGTGTTACAAAGATAGTGGAGTAGCACATAGATAGATTCAGCTCCAGGTTGGTGACCCCAGGACTAAGTAGAAACCCCATCTGGTGAGATGGCTAGGCTGATTACAGCGGCTGATTTGATTTTTTTTCCTTAGACATGTTGTGTGTGTCCTGATTAAATTCAGGGCTTGAAGATGATTGGATTAACAAGATAGCTCTGCTTGGTGGGGCCCTGTCGTCCGTCTGTCTTCCTTTGCTGTTCTTGTGCTGGCCAATTAGCTGACAGCCGGACTCACTTCTAGCTCCAGTTCTATGGTGCAGTGGTCCTCACCTTGGACTGCATCAAAGCACACAAGCTGCTTTTAAAAATGCAGATGCATGGGCCCTTCTAATGGATCAGAATTCCTCAGGAGTGGAGCCTAAGCAAGTGCAGTCTGCTAGTGCCAGCCATGGCACATAACTAGTCACAAGTAAGGTGCTATTTGAATAGAAGAACAGCTGAGCCTCCCCACCAATTTAGTTTCTGTTACTAATTATAAAGGTCTTAGTTTAAGTACGAAGAACATAACTGAACCAGTATGCCAGTTAGACTGTGTATGATAGGGGCTTTTATGGGGCTATTTTCTTATCTTTGATCACTTAAATGAGGCCTAACTTGGTTTTTGTATTTCTGTTACTTGGAAGTCAAATAATGCTTTTTTATTTCTTATTTCTTTGACTACACTTGAAATCAAAGAAATGTGAATTGTGTGCCAAAATCAGTTGATAGTTCTGAGCTATTCACTCATGTTCTTGTTGACTTCTGTTAATTGTATGAGAGAGAGAGATAGTAAGCATCTTTGAGAAATATCTCACTAGTAAAGCTACCCAGGGAGAGCACAATGTAGAAGATACTGCACTGAAGCTATAAGGGAGACCTGGCGGGTCAAGAATAGTTGCGTTTAGCCCAGGAAGCAGAAGGGGTGGGAAGGCGTCATATGCAAACTACAATACCGAGCTGTTGAAGAACAGAAGTGAAGTGGAGCATGTCCATGTGTCTCATGTTTCCTTCCATGGGTGGGGTAAAGGAAACTGAGTAATGCATCCATTCTTGAAAGGAGAAAACCTTGTTCCTCTGAAGAAGCTCTTCATATACAGAACCCAGAATAGCCAAAGTAACTGGTATTATCTTAGAGGATTTTTTGCTGAAACTTAAATTGAATTGGAGTCAATTCAGGATCAGGGTACACAATTAATTTTAGGTTATTTCTAAAATTAATAATGAGCAGCAGGATAAAATCTATGTAATTATATCAAATGCCTATTAAAGTTTTATCTGGCATGTCACATAGGGTATGTGTACGCTGAGCTGTAATAGCCTTCTTATTTGCCTAACTAAATTAAACAAGGGTGCCTTTGACTTTCTGGGAAGTTTAATATTTTATTATAGAACAGTTGATTACGCAGTCAGCTCAGTTGAGCTGGAGTGTCGTTACAGAAAGGACAAGTATTGTAGGTTGGAGCAAGGGTCAGCAGACTTTTCCATAAAGGACTAGTTGTAAATATTTTAGGTTTCGTCGGCCATACGATCTCTGAGCCTAGACTCAGTTCTGCCTCTGCCGTTTAAAAGCAGCCATAGACAGTGGGACAACATGTAAAATGCATGGTGTTGCTGTGTTCACATAAAAATGTGTTAACTCAAACTGATACTGGGCTGCAGTTTGGCAGCCCGTGGTTGACAGTGTAGTTTACCACCAATCTTGGACCCTGTTGTTTCTTCAGGTAAGTTGTGCAACTGCTGACCTGGTGGCATTTGGTAGTACTTGTAGGAAGAAGTTGGGAATGAAGTTGGGAGTTGCTGGAGTGAGCCGCGACTCCCTTTTACATGCTTCTCTTGTATAAGAATTAGTTACGCTGAATTTTCAAAGAAATGATTTGATGAGCCTGGTGAACCCATAGTAAGTGTATGCAGTTTTCAGCAATAGATAGAGGCATGTTTTGAACATCTGCTCTTCCACCACTAGTTGCTTTACCCCTCTTAGCCCCTGTGATGGGAGGAAATTATCATTATCCTCATTTTATAGGTAGAGTTAGGTGTACACAGCCAGTACAGTTCAGACAGTCGAAGTACCTGTGTGTTGGGTGCAGTGTGTTAAATGGGCTGGCTACGGGGAGTATATTTACTGCCCAGTAAGTCCTCAGTGAAAATTGGAGCTTTTATGAAATTCTAACATTGTACAGTATAAAGATGGTCATGACCCTGCCCTCCAGAAGTTTATTTTCCTACTTTTGAGCATATTTGTTTTACATGAGGGTAATTTTGGTGCCTTTAGATTTTCTGCCCGCTGCAGATCTCATCACCTCCTACTAAGCCCTTCTGTAGGATAGAACACCAGTTTCTATCCCATGACTCAGCTGCTCTAGTTAGCGCAGAAGACATGTACAAACCTGTTGTTAACATCGTGACTTTGAAACAGATCTCTCTTCTTGGAAACGGTGCTTTAGTGCGCCTGGTTTTGGTTTGTTACAGGCAACAGAACATTGAGGAGAACATGACCATAGCCATGGAAGAGGCTCCGGAGAGCTTTGGCCAAGTAGTGATGCTCTATATCAACTGCAAGGTGAACGGACACCCTGTGAAAGCCTTTGTTGACTCAGGTGACGGCTCCATCTTTTATATCTCAGTGCCCCCACATCCTGATCTGACCCCGGAGTGTTTGCTTAGAGAGATCATTTATTAAATTGCTTCTTAACCAGTTTTCTATTTTGCAGTGTCTCCTTTATCTTCCTGCCTCCCCTTATTTAGCACCCCTAATTTTCTCAGGCAATTCTATAAGAAATTGGGAGTAATAGATTTAGAATAAGGAGCTTCAGGGAGGAGCTGTGTAAGGTATAGGTCAAAAATATTTCAACCTGGTCTGTGTGCCAGCACCTGGTCAGGAGCTGTGAGGAGTATCAGGCCAAACAGGGTACAGAACTTAGCGGCCAGGCAGGAAAGGGAGCTTGCCTCTCAAGGCTGCAGGTAGTTTATGTATTAATTGGCACCTCTTCTCCCAAAAGTAACTCTTTGCTTTTTAGCATGAGCACACTGTGACTGCCCCCTGGGGTGTGACCAAGTGTCTTAGGCATCCTGGTTCCTGTGTTTCACTCCAGGCTGTAGAGTAGGGCAAGTCCTGGAACAGAGAAGCCCCTGCTCAGATGAGTGGCCTCCCTTTGTTCACCAGAGACCCTGAGCATATACTTTGCTTTAGCTGTTGTCATGAGTTTGTGTCTTGAGATGCAAACATTCTTGGGAGTTTTTGTTTTTTTTTGGGGGGGGGGTGTTGTTACTAGGGATTGACAGCTGAGCCACATCCCTGTCCCATTTTTATATTTTATTTAGAGACAGGGTCTCGATGAAGACAGGTTCATGCTTAGGGCTTTGCAAAGCTGCTGAGACTAGGGTGAACTTGTGATCTTCCTCCCTCTGTTTCCCAAGCCGCTGAGAGTACAGGCATGAGCCACTGCACCCTTTGAGAAGTAAATCTAATGATTGGGCTTTAGAGATAAAGTGCCTGTGCTGAGTGCTCAGTGGGAAGACTTACTCACCAGGGTTCAGAGGGCTCCGGCGTGAGTGCAAGAGAGAAACCCACGTGGGAACCTGCTTTACCACCCATCTGTACTGTGCCAAGCGCCATGCCAGCTATTCATGAGTACCATCAGGCCATTGTCTTTCATCCTCAGACCATCCCAAGAGTTGTGTTCCTGTTTTTCAGAAAGGAAATGGCTGGGAGAGGTAAAGTCCTCTCCCAGGCATGCAGAGTTGATGTGTGGTGGAGTGTGATTCATGCCTAGATCTGCTTATTGCCAGAACTCTTCACCATTGCGCCAAGCCAGCTGAGTGTTGGGTGGGCATAAAGATCACATTCTCTTTCTGACTGGAGCGTGCAGAGCATATTCCCAAAGAGAAGATGTTTAAGCTGAAGCGTGGGAAGAGGCAGGAGAACAAGGAAAGGGCCATTCACCCTGGAGTGCTTACTTTAATTATTGTAACTATTTAATTAATTAACAATTAATTAACTATTTTGAAGTAAGGTGAGGAAGGAGGAAATAAAAAGGATTGCCCTCTTAAAATCCCTTTTTCTTGACTATTTCTAGGCCTTGTTGAGTCTTTCCTTTCTCAAATGCCAGGAGCTTTCCGTGCTAGTCAGGGGTAGGGTTCTAATGGGTGAACTGAACAGGATGTGCTCGATTGAATGAGAGGTGGAGTTGCTTAGGGGAAAGTAGGTCTTGAATTGGGCCTTGGAGGTAGCAGGGTAGGGACCCAAGGGAGCTAGAGGCAAAGGAATCTCGGTCCTGCTCCTGACAACCTGGGGAGGGGCAGTGCAAGACTTGGATAGAAATACTGAGGTGTGGTTTGACAGTCTAACGCAGAGCAGAAACCCTTGAGGACTACTAAAAAGGGAGAGAAAAAGTGATTCGAAGGTGATAGTTTAGTAAAATAGAAGGCAGAGACAGATCTGGAGAATCTGTACCCCCTAAGGGTCATAACTGTTTCCTTGCTTTAAACTACACATCCACAGAGTGGTTTGGAAGCCAGAGAGGTAGTCCATTTTCAAGAGGAGGGGGTGTGAGCTAGGTCAATAGCTATGGTTAGAAAGGGAAAGGTTGGGGCTAGGGCTGTAGCTCAGCAGCAGAGTGCTTGCCTAGCATTTGTGAGGCACTGGGTTCAATCCTTAACACCATATAAAAATAAAGTAAAACATGCTATCCATACACAACTACAAAAAAAAAAAATGATAATAAAATAAAGGGAAAGGTCAGAAATAGAATTTATTTGTTTATATGTTTAGGACAGAGTGTGAGATCAGAGGGAACATGGGAGAAATCAACAGTGAGTTCTGCCCAGGTTTTAGGACTACAAGGAAATGATTTCATTGCAAAGAAAAAGAAATCCAAAGTGAGAATTATTTGTAGGGAGAAAAATTTTATACCTTTTGGCTCTGAGATAGACATGTCCAACACATAGGAATGTGGAACTAGAGTTCAAGGGAGATGTTAGGATTATAGGTGAAAATTGGGAAGTTGTCTTTTTTTTTTTTTTTTGTAGATGGACTCAATACCTTTATTTAATTTATTTATATGTGATGCTGAGGATCTAACCCAGAAACCCAGTGCCTCACATGTGCTAGGTGAGCATTCTACACTGAACCACAACCTCAGCCCTGGGAAGTTGTCTTTTATGTGGGCCAACTTCAGCTAAATACCTATATATACAGACAGGAGAAGATACCCTAAATGGCCTCAACTTTAACAGGAAGAAGGCCTGATTTGGGCCCAAAGAATGAGGACTTCACTTCTGTTTCTTGGGATAATATAGTTTTTCGGGTTAGTGTGTTTTGGGGTTTTTTTGTTTGTTTGTTTGGTTGATTTTGTGTGTGCGTGCGTGTGTGTTTGTGTGTGTGTGTGTGTTAGTGGAGATCAAACCTAGGGTCTTCAGCATGCTAGGCAAGTGCTGTTAGCACTAAACTATATCCCTAGCCTTAGGATATATTTATTTTTTATTTTTATTTTTTTAGTTGTTGATAGACTTATTTATTTGTATGTGGCGCTGAGAATTGAACCCAGTGCTTCACACATGCCAGGCAAGTGTGCTACCAAAGTGATAAAATGCTTAGAAATACTCCTTGAAGCTAGGCACAGTGGTGCACACTTGTAATCCCAGCAACTTGCAAGGCTGAGGCTAGAGGATGGCAAGACCCTATCTCAAAATAAAAAATTAAAAGGGATAGAGGGGTAGCTCAGTGTTTGAGCTCCCCTGGGTTCAATCCCCAGTGCCTCCAAAATAAAAGGAGGGAGGCTTCATGAAAACTGTTAGTGGTATTTTATCATTTTTATTTATAGAAATAGTAGTCATGGTTTGAGCTTTTAGGAGGCCCTTTCTAGGTAGTTTTTGCTGTTTTTTTTTTTTTTTTTTTAGTTGTAGTTAGACACAATATACTTATTTTATTTATTTGTATGTGGTGCTGAGGATCGAACCCAGGGCCTTACACATTCGAGGCAAGCGCTCTACCGCTGAGCCACAACCTTTTTATTGATAAAGTTTTGTTAGTTTGTTTTTGGTGATGGACCTTTATTTATTTATTTACCTGTGGTGTTAAGAATCGAACCCAGGGCCTCACATATGCTAGGCAAGTGCTCTACCACTAGGCCATGACCCCAGCCCTCTATTGATTAAAAACAGTGGGATTCGTTGTTACCAATACACATGACAGGACGACATAATTTGGTCAGTTTCATTCCCAAGTATTTCCCCTGGTCCTCCTCCCTCCTTCCCTCCCTCTGGATCCTTTCCTCCACTGGTCTAGCTTTGATTTTCATGAGATCCTTTCTTTTCTTTTTTCCTTTCTAGCTTCTGCATATGAGAGAAACATGACCCTGGACTTTCAGACTTGGGCTTATTTTGCTTAAATACATACTCTCAAATTTTATTCATTTTTCCTGCAAATGACATAATTTCTTCTTCTTCTGCCTTGTTCATAGTGTTGTATTGTGAATCTTACCACAAATATGGATTTTTCTTTTTTTTTTTTTATCATTTAATGTTTTTCCTCTCCCCCTTCAGGTGCCCAGATGACCATAATGAGCCAGGCTTGTGCGGAGAGGTGTAATATAATGAGGCTGGTGGACCGTCGGTGGGCAGGGATTGCCAAAGGAGTGGGCACCCAGAAGATTATTGGAAGGGTACATCTAGGTGAGTGAAAGCTGCTTGGGTGTTGCTGTATTTTTGTAGGGTATGTATAGAATGATAGATTTTAAGATTTTGGACAAACTGTCTTTCTTGTGGGTACATTGGATTCAGCAAACTTTAATTCCCCGAAATCCTGTGTTTACCAAGATTATATGTACATGTTTTCATTGGTTACCAAAAAACTAGACTACACACTTATATTTCCTGCTTTCCTGCTCCCCAGAGGTATTCACCCCTGTTATTTTGGCTGATTTCTCCCCATCCCCACCCCCACCCTCTTCCTCTCCCTCTCCCTCTTCTATCTTTCTTTTGTTTTTTGTACTGGGGATTGAGCTCAGAGTTGTTTTACCACTGAGCCACATCCCCTGCGGGTTTTATTTTTTATTTTGAGACAGGGTCTCACTAAATTGCTTAGGGCCTCAGTAAATTCCTGAGGTTTATCTCAAACTTGAGATCCTCCTGCCTCAGCTTCAGCATCCTGAGTTTACCTCCATATTTCTACATAATGGGTTTATACTGCTGTTTACTGATATGACTATGCAAATGCTTTTGAGAGGTAGACTGACTAAATATAATTGCTTTTCTTTTTTATGTATAGTATTTTTTTTTCTTAGAATTACTAATTGTCCTTTTGGGGAGTGTCATTTGTTATGTGCCACTCATCTCCAGACACTTCCTCATTATGCAAGTGTTTTGTACACTTCTTTCAAAGCCTGGATAATGGTTCTAGACCTGCTCCATGGCTGTTTTTTGGGAATTTCTCTTGATCCTGTCCTGAGAATCCTTTTTCCTCTGCTGTGTTGTATTAACATGAATCCCATGTCTTTCCCTTTTTAAAATTTGTTCTTGCTATACTAGGGATTGCACCTTGTGTGTGCCAGGCAAGCAATGTACAACTGAGGCAGTCCTTCCATCCATAGTTTTGAGACATCGTGCCTTACCCTTAGCATTTTCGGTGTTGCTGAAGAGCAGCTGTATGGTCTTGGTCCCTTTTTTTTTCCTGTAGCTTGTAGACCTTCTCTTTGACTTGAGTCTTTTGATGTACTTAGGTACGACTGTCCATCTCCTGCACTGGCTACTTGATGAACTTTTTAATCTGGAAACTCACGTCCTTCAGTTCTAGGGACATTCCAGTCTATGTGAATGGTTATTTGGATGGGCATCCATAGTGCTTGATATCTTAACTGAAGGATGGTCTGAAAGTGGATCAAAAAGTCAGTCTAGTATCTTTCCCTCATCCTCCTGGTTTCCAGTCAGGTGCTTGCTTTGTATTTGCTGTTCTCTGTACCCACCTCTGCTGAGAGAGCCCATTTCGCCTCTTTAGGATATACACCCAAGTCTGCCAGTGGAGTGAAAGGTAACCAGCCTGGCAGAGTATAAGAGGCATCCCAAGAGCTGATTGGACCTGTTCATACTTGGTCTGCCTTCTCCTTCTGCCACCTTCGCCTGTTTGCAAAGCTGCCTTTGACCTTATAGGGTCTGAGATATAAACTGGGCCACTTTCTTCACTGTCATCTGCTTTCCAGTTCCAAAGTTGTTTTGTGTTGTGGTTTGGTTTGAGGTGCTGAGGATTGAACTCAGAGGCCTTATACATGTTGGGCAAGTGCTCTACTTCTGAGGTACATCCCCAGCCCTGTGCCCTCCCACGCTTGTGAAAGGTGGTCATATAATGGATATAGTTTTATGCTTAGCTTTTTTGGGGTGGGGGTGGGTACCAGGGATTGAACCCAGGGGAGCTTAACCATTAAGCCTCATCCTCAGAACTTTTTATTTTTTATTTTGAGACAGGATCTTGTTGAGTTGCTGAGGCTGGTTTTGAACTTGCCATGCTCCTGTCTCAGATTTCCAAGTTGCTGAGAGCACAGGTGTGCACCACTACATCCAGCTCTGCTCAGCTTTAAGAAAAAATAACATAACATTTTCCCAGTATCACTCTTAAGTTTCATAAGAATCAGTCAGATAAGTGCATAGCTTTCTGTTATGGGCTAAATGATCAGCTTTTGGGATATGCCCCCCACACACACACACACACCAATATTTTGTTAGTATAACATGACAGTAGATTTTTATGCACATTTTGAGTGTTTTTCCTTAGCCTAAATTCCTGTGAGATTACCAAGTGAAAGTAATGAATGCAAAGCCAGTCATGGTAATGCATACCTGTAATCCCAATGACTCAGGAGGCAAGAGGATCTCAAGTTCAAAGCCAGCCTCGGCAGTTTAATGAGGCCCTAAGCAACTTAGCAAGACTCTGTCCCCCCCCCCAAAAAAAAAAAAAGGCTGGGGATGTAGCTCATGGTTAAGCACCCCTGGGTTCAATTCCTGGTACCCACCTGCCCCCTAAAATGTGTGTGTGTGTGTGTATGTGTATGCCTTAAGGCTTTTCATATATTGCTAACTTGTACCAGTTTAGTTTACCCACCACTTTATGAATATTCATCTTAATGTCCTATACTATTAAATGTTATTCATTTTCTGCCTTAAATTTGTAAATTAAAAAAAGGTGGTTTCTTGGGGCTAGAGTTGTAGCTCAGTTGGCAGAGCATTTGCCTTGCATGTGTGAGGCACAGGATTTGATCCTCAGCACCACATAAAAACAAATAAAATAAAGGTATTGTGCCTGTCTACAATTAAAAAAATTTTTTTTTTTGGAAAAAAAATGTGGTTTCTTATTGTTACGTTTATTGCAAATGGTAGCTTTTCTACCTGTTCATTTTTTCCTTTCATGCTTAATTGAACCTGTGTTTTGAACTATATGGGCTGTGTATTAGGATCTTTGTATTTCTTTAATTGATTTGTTTAGAATAGAGTTTAAATGCCTTGTTCTTACATGTCCTAAGCACAGTAGGAGTGAAGAATTGAGCAGAAATAGTACAGGTTGGTTGCTTTAGAGGCTGAATTCTCAGGTTTTTCATGGTTGTGAGAAGATAATAGGAGATACAGGCAGGCTGTAATCCTAGGCACTCTGGAGGCTGAGACAAGAGAACCACAAGTTCAAGGCTAGCCTCAGCAACTTAGCGAGATCCTGTCTCCAATAAATAAAATAAATAAATAAATAAAAAGGTGGGTATGTGCCTCAGTGATAAGGCACTTCTAAGTTTAATCCCCAGCACCCAAATAAATAAATAAATGGATGAATAAATAAAGGTGGGTGTGTGCCTCAGTGATAAAGCACTTCTAAGTTTAATCTCTAGTACCCCAAGAGACAAAATAAATTCCAGTCCCTTGTGTCCTTGTGAGTGGACTGTTTTGCAATTCTAGCATGACAGATATAAAGAAAACCTGTATAACAATCTAAATAAAAGCTTTCCCATGGATTAGGACACTCTGTTGGAGATCATAATTACCATATTTGTCTACAGAGTCACAATAACATCCAAATTCTGGTTTTTTAAATAAGATTATGTATGCTAATTTTAAATTTTGTGTGGGCCTGTTACTTAGCAAGAAAGGCAAGATGCTCTAGAATAAGTCTTTGTTCTAGATATCAAGTCAAAGGACTATCTAGAAGATACCAAAAGGGACATACTCATGCTTAATTGAACTTTGATGAATTAGAGATGATGTCCTTACAGAGCAGATGTCATGTTTCAGAAAATGCTGCTGGGACATTTGGGCGTTCATGTGTAAAAATGGATTGATTAGAAATTGGACCCTGCTCCACCCCATAGACACAAGTCAGACCAGGTGGAGTCAAGATAGAGCTGGGAAGGCAGAGTCAGCGCTCTGGGAAGAGAATGTAGAAGGATATCTTGGTAGGGAAGGAGTTCTTTAAAAGATAGGAAGGAAATTATTTATTTACTATGTTCCATCAGTCACATTAAGATTAAGAACTTGAGCTGGGCACAGTGGCACATGCATATAATTCCAACAACTCCAGACAGAGGCTGAGGCAGATGATTGCAAGTTTGATCTCAAATTAAAAAAATGAAAGCGCTGCTAGCGTGGCTCAGTGGTAGAGCACCCCTGGATTCAATCCCCAGTATGTGAGCAGGGGCAATACTGCAAATAACGTGAACAACCTGAGAAAGAACTTCAGTAACATAACTAATGAAGGGTTTGTGTTTGTATCTGTGTTCTCCAGTTTGGTGGGAGAGAAAAGAGGAACATTTATGGCAATAATTGAACAGGAAATTCAGCTATCTTTCCACTGGAAGAGGAAATGCAAATAGTTAATGATTATATGAAAATTTGCTCAACCTCATTATTCATACAGGAAATACAAATTCACTTGCTAGATTAGCAAAGATTTAAAATCTGTTATCAAATGTTGGTGAGAACATGGAGCAGCAGGAGCTCATTGTGCTGGAATCATTTTTGAGGATAATTCACTACCACCTAGTGAGGTTGACACAGCACACCCAGAACCTGGGGATTTTACTTCCTAAAATGCATTTTAGAGAGGTTCAGGTAGACAAGGGGGCCACACACCATGTGACAGTCCCATTGCTCAGGTCAGCAGAGACCAGTAGCTGCCGAAGGAGCCCAGTCACTGCGAGTGAGGGCACCAGTGGGGGCTGTTGGCCTTTGCGGTGCTCTGGGGGGGGCTGAAAGTGAGAGTAGTGGAGGCATGTGCATCTGCTGGGCTGTATCTCAATTTTTTTTAATATATATTTTTTTAGTAGTTGGTGGAGCTTTATTTGTTTATTTATGTGGTGCTGAGAATCGAACCCAGTGCCTCACACATGCTAGGCAAGTGCTCTACCACTGTGCCGCGACTCCAGCCGCCCCCGCCCCCCCAGCCTTTTTTTAATAAAAGAGGTAAATCTTAGTTCAAAACTAGGAAGTAATGTGCTGCTTAGAAATACGTACAAAACTGGCAAAAAACAAGGAGAAGCCGGGGATGATTGACACAAAGCCAGGATAGTGAGGAGGGTGAGTGGGTGTACATGAGGCTCTTAACTAGAGGAATAGACAATGAGTCCCAACTTTCAGTTTTAAGTTTTTTGCAGTACTAGGGCTTGAGCCCAGGTACTGGTTGAACACTATACCACTGAGCTATACTTCCAGCCCCTTTTTATTTTACTTGAGTCAAGGTCTCACTGAAGTACTGAGGCTGGCCTCAAACTTGACAATCCTCCTGCCTCAGCATCCCAAGTTGTGCCCTGCACTTGACGTGGGTGTTTATTATACTTTCCACTATAATAAATTTTATATATTCTTCAGCTTGCTGTTTAATGATAGCAAAATACTCTTTTTTTTTAAAAAATCTGAGAAATATCTTTTTTATTTTCTGTTTCTCTTGGTACTGGGAATTGAACCCAGGGATGTTTGACCACAGACCCATATTTCCATATCTATCTATCTATCTGAGACTGAGTCTTAGTCTTGCTAAGTTATTAAGGATCTTACTAAGTTGCTGATGCTGGCTTAGAATTCGCAATCCTCTTGCCTGGACGCTGAGTTGCTGGAATTATAGGTATGAACCACAATGCCCAGCTACATTTTATTTTATTTTTTGAGACAGTTCTGCTAAGTTGCCCAGATGATTTTCAGGCTAACTCAACTGTTAACATGCTTTGCCTTGGCTTTGATTGATTGCAGGAAGTGAGACACATAATGATCAGTTCATTTCCAGAGTTCACCTGGGTCTTTTGAAGCAAACATCAGTAACCTGTTCTCTTTGTGCTTTAGCTCAGGTTCAAATTGAAGGTGATTTCCTGGCATGTTCTTTCTCTATACTTGAGGAGCAGCCCATGGACATGCTTCTGGGACTAGACATGCTTAAACGGCATCAGGTAATGAAGAACTTGTTTGTACCTACTTCTTGTGTGTTCTGTGGCCATTATCTCTGTGGCAAAACCAAGAAGCGTGACTTTCATACCCACAACGTCAATCCTTAGTTGATTGTTGTTCCAAGGTTGAAGTGATGCATCATTAGAAAGAGACAATAATTTGAATATATATTAATTCATGGTCATATTTTTATTTCTAGCCTGAAGCCTAATAATTTAAGATATAACACCCTGATTAAAGAAATAGTGTTCACTGGGTAATAAAACTTTCATAGTGGGCTTTTATATGTAGTCGGTATTTTTATGTCTTTTTTCTTTTTTCAGTAATGGGGATTGAACCCAGGGGCAAACTACCACTGAGTTATTATGCCCAGCATTTTTCCTTGACTTCAGACAGCCTAGACCTTGGATTTGTATTCCTCCTGCCTTAGCTTCCCAAGTTGCTAGGATAATAGGCATGTACCTCACATGTTATTTTTGAATATTTAAAAATTTAATTCCAGCTGGGTATGCAGTTAAGTGGCATAGCTTTCACCTAGTGTGTGTGATGCCCTGAGTCAGATTCCCAACACCACACACAAACACCCCAAAATCCTAGAAAAGAATTTGCATCGTATTGACTTAACATTATGTATATATGTATACATAAATCCTAATTCATTAACTTTTACTATCTTTCTCTGTATGTTAGTCATAGCATAAACCAAAACTCTTCAATTTTATAAATATATGTGTGTGCAACTATCCTATGTTAAGTTGATACAACAATGACAGAAATGGCCAGGCACAGTGATGCATGCTTGTAATCTCTGACCCAGAAGGCTGAGGCAGGAGGATCACAAGTTGAGGTGAGCCTCAGCAACTTAGCAAGACCCTGTCTCAAATTTTAAAAGGAGTGGGAATGTGGCTCAGTGGCAAAGCACCCCTGGATCAATCTCCAGTATGGTAACTAAAACAAAGCAACAACACAGCATACATATAAAAAATATTTTCTAAAATTCGCCTTGTACATCTATCACTTTTGAGACCATTGGTGTAGAATTCAAGCTGTAATTTGTATAATATAAGTGAAAGAAGCAATGTATAAAACTATGAATAGTATGGTCTCAATTTATAATCAGAAGTGATCAAATACTTTTTTAAAGGCAAATAAATATAAAAGTGTATCCTGTACACTTTTATAAATATAAAAGTTTATCCTGTTATAAACTTTGAGTATTAAAAAGAATTCTAAATGGGGCATGGTGGCACACACCTATAGTCCCAGCTACTCAGAAGTCCACGGGAGGAGGATTCCATGAGCCCAGAAGTTCAGGGCAATATAGCAAGAGCCCATCTCAAAATAAACAAAAAGATCTAACTTAGCAGACAATGTCACCAAGGTTAAAATTTAAATGGTTTCCAGATAAAAGTAGAGTGTTTTTTGCAGCCATCTCTCCCTGTCCTTGTTGCTTTTTGTGAATGGAGTTTTAAATTCGGGATCATACTTTTTCTGCTTGGTGCTTTATCTGCTGTGGTCATTTCATTTCTTCCTCCTAAGTGTTCCATTGACCTCAAGAAAAATGTACTGGTGATCGGCACCACAGGCTCACAGACCACCTTCCTTCCTGAGGGAGAGTTACCAGAGTGTGCCCGGTTGGCATATGGGGCTGGGCGAGAGGATGTGCGGCCAGAGGAGATTGCAGACCAGGAATTAGCAGAAGCCATTCAAAAATCAGCAGAAGATGCAGGTATTTGGATGGCCAAGCTCTTATTGCTTGTGGTATCAGTGGGGGTAAGGACCTTTTCCATTTGTAATGAGTCTCACCATCGGTTTTAGATGTGCTCATTGTCTGTCTTCTTACTGCCTCCTCCCATCTCTTTATCCAATAAAGAGAAACTCTATGTTAGCAGATCAAGAAACAGCAAGTTCACATTTTGGTAGGCTTCTTAAAACATCTTTTTTTTCCTAAAGGAAATTATAACAGTAAACAGACACTTTGCAGTTCAGCAGTATTTCCCTAAAACTTTCTTTCCTTTCCTTAATCCATTTATTTTGGACAGTAGCATTGTCATTATGACTAAGCAGTCTTAAGTTTTAAAATTTACTGAAAATGCTACCACCAAAGAGAAAAAAAAAAACAGCAATGAGAATCACAGCTGAACAGTCATCAAAATGTAGCATTTTGTGCTCTGAGATCACAGTGGTGTTGTCAGGCCATAAAACGGTATATAAACTATTGTAGTCAAGTTACCCATGCTTTTTTCTCAGTGTCTATAGTGTTTTAGTCTGTTTAAACCTAAAGACAGAGCCAGTACTGCTGGGTAAAATGGAACAATACAGTTTTGCTGAAATCCCCACCTGTAATAGAACAGTGTCTCTGGGATTCATTTTCTAGAAGCTGAAAAGAATTATTTTCCAAGTTTGGGTTATTTGAAAGTCTTGAGCCAGAATAATTTATAAGTATGACTAATCTCACACATTGCTTTTTCTAATACAGTAAAATGTACTCGAGTTATCAGTTCAGGGAATAGCTTTCTCCCGTGGATGAGATAACGAACTTTAAAATTTAGGCAGATTTTGCCACATTTTACTGGAAAGTAGTTGTAGTTGCAGTGTAAATATTTTGAAGGAAGGGGAGAATTTTGAACAACAAGCAGTCATTTTATTCTTAAACCCAGCACTGTAAGCTTAAGTGAGTTGGACATACATAATTAATCATTTGGTGTGTGGGGGGTAATTTGTCAGCTTAATGATAATACCATGTGTTAATGAGAGGATATATTACCATTTCTTCTCTCTCATTTATGATGCTAATATTGGAGAAATACTAGCTGATGATAACAGTGTTTTCTAACCTGCAAGTAATAATTACCCTCTCTGGTAATTACCTTATTTTAATAAAAAGTTTAGGGGATTAAAATACATACCACAGATATTTTAAGCTCAGTGAAGGGTATGTATCAATTTTAAAGAATTAAAAGGAAATCACTTTTTATCCATGTCATTTTTTAAGGTTTTTTCTTTTTCTTTTTTTTTTTTAGTTGTAGACAGACACAGTATCTTTATTTTTTCTTAAGTTTAATTTGTAAAATAATTCTGTAATACCAGGTCCTATTTGTTTGGAAATATGACTTTCCAGTATCATCACAATCAAAATTATGGCTGGGTGTGGTGACACATGCCTGTAATCCCAGTGGCCCAGGAGGCTGAGATAGGAGGATTACAAGTTCAAAGTCAGCCTCAGTAATTTAGCGACACCTTGTCTCTGAATAAAATATAAAAACGGGCTGGGGGTGTTCCTCAGTGGTTAAGCACTCCTAGTTTCAGCCTCTGTACCCCCACTCCCCCAAAATCAATTTTTTTAGGGGGGTATTGGGGACTGAACCCAGAGCCTTGTACATGCAAGGCAAGCCCTCTATCAACTGAGCTGTATCCCCAGTCCCTCAAAACTCTTGGTTTTTAGGTGAACATATTTTGGAAAAGCTGTTTCTTTGATACATGCTTTATATCAAAGTCTACTTATTTTTTTTCCAGGAATTGAAAACTAATTTAGAGTAGTATCTATATCTGATGTTTTCTAATGGTGAAAATTAAAGAAGATAAGTCAGGATAGAAGTCAGGTTTGGTTTCTTCTAAAAATGAATCTCAACTAAGAAATGTGGAAAATGATTTTTACACATGTTCACTAACCTTTATTCCCGGAGACGATTTTCTTATCATCTAGTTCCATCTAATGGATTTCCTTTTTTTCTCTTTTCACACATTTGCTGAAGTTCTCTATGTGTAGATGTGTAAAATTGATTTCTTTACACATTCAATTAAAGTATCTTGAAGTTGACACATTGGCTTTACCTGTTGAGAATTGAAGCAGCCAGCAAATCTTTTGGATGCCCAAACCCTGGAAACATTCCCCAACTTTGTGCTCGTTCCTGGTCTCAAGATGGCCAAGGCATGGAGACTATAACCCTGCATGCTGTGTAGCTTGCAGTGCTAACCCAGGTTTGCTTGTCTGTTTCCTAATCCAAACAGAGCGTCAGAAGCCATGATGCATGTGGTGTGTGTGCTGCGGCTGGAGTGGGCCCAGACCAGGTATTTACAGACGCCGTGCTCAGCCTTCCATCCAGTTGATGTCTGTGGTCTCAAAGTCTCTTATCTGCAATTTTAGAAGTTAGCTTCTGCCATTCTCCATTTCACCCTGTTCTGTTTCCAACTGGCCTGTATAGACATTTGTATGTATATTGTCCATTATCCTTACCACCAGGTGTTGGCGCACATCTGTGATCCTATCTACTCAGGAGGCTGAGGCAGGAAGATCGCAGGTTTGAGGCCAGCCTCGGCAACCTAGCCAAAACCCTGTCTCAAAAAAAGGGCTGGGAATGTGGTTCAGTGGTAGAGTGTCCCTGGGTTCAATCCCCAGTGCCACCAAAAAATATATATATGTGTATATATTTGTCTTTGGAGATGTCTGTTTTTATGGAGCTCATGAGTCTCTTTCCTGAAAATAATACTGCACACAATTACCTGGATTTGTAGCATGCAGATTTTCATTCTCTTTGAAAAAGAAATGGACACTTAAGCCAAGTGACTTGTCCAGGGTCATGGATTAATAACAAGCCATTTCCATTTCTTGTGATATAATAGGACTTTATTTTCTAAGGTTTACAGGCTGGTTGTAATTGATTCATAGCATTTACTTTCCTTCTCCCAACCCTTGCCTTGTAAGAACAGGATAAAATTCCTCATAATTTCATTATTCTTAATATCCATTTTCTTTGTCCTCTTCTCCTAATCATCCTGTAGTCCTGGCCCATCCCTCCCTACAGTTGAGACTTAGGCTGGTGAAATTGAAATTTCAGCTTCAGGAGGGATTGTGTGCCATTCTCGTGGTCAGTATGAAACCCAGTGAGGCTGCTTTCCCCTTCACCTCACATGGTTATAAAATTGGCATGCTGGGCACAGTGGTGCATGCCTGTAATCCCAGCGGCTTGGGAGGCTAAGGCAGGAGGATCGCGAGAAATAAAAGTGCATACCAGGCCTGTGTAATACCGCTGCATATTGCTGATATGGCTATTTCATTGCAATGCATTTGTGTGTATGTGTGGTTCTGGGAATCGAACCCAGGGACTGACTCTTGCTAGGCAGATATTCTGTCACTGAGCCATATTCCTCGTCCCCATACAGTGCACTTTTTTATGTGAGCATTAGTACAAAATTGGACTTCTTCCAGAGGTAGCCTTATTGGTTAGATTCATAAAAATAATAACTTCCTAGATTGTAATGATAACAGTTTACACTGAGACGTGTTGTTTTCCTGCTTACTACTAAACTATAAATAAGGTAAGATTGTTTTATAAGAAGTTAGTAACTTCCTGACATAGTGCTTTATGTTTCCTGTAAACCAGTATTTGGAATGACATAAAGCTGTTTGAATCACGACTGCCTTCTTAAGCTCCCATATTAGAAGCTAACATTCAGCCCAAATCATTTGAATTGCATCTAACCAGATAGAATATATAGTGGCCAGACTTCTTAGCAGCCCTTGGACTTTTAACTACAGGTACTAGAATCTGCATAGAGGTGAACTTTTAACTGGATCCGCATCAGGAGGGTTGAAACTGATGCTTAATGGTGGTGTTATGATATCTGACTTGAGCTAGTGTTTAAGCCTGTGTCTTACTTGAGTAAATTTCAGCGAACCTAGATTGCCTATTGACACACTGCGATGATCTCCCTACGCTGCTGTCCCTGGGGAATCCCCTGTCCTTAATGTACTTCAGTGGTCTTAATTTAGTTGTGTTCTATTAATATGATAACTGATGATCCTTTTAAAGTTGCAGTATTTCTTAGGATAATGATTGGGTTTTAATGTCTGTACTTTTGTTTTCTGAGTCAGATGCTCACACAGTTTTACCATGATTGGGGGAGTCTGGCTAGAAATAAAACAGAACATTTGCTTCTTTGTATTCTGGCGGCCTGCAAGCATTATGTAAATTCTGCTTTCTCTTTATAATTCCTGCTCCATCTCAAGTATACCTGGTTTTGGACTCTGTTTTGTAATTTCAGTGTTCACATTTGAAACACAAAAAAGTTTGTGGACCCACAAATCATTCTAGTGTGAGGATTCCTGAGATCCATGATGTGTTTTTTTTTTTTTTTTTTTTTTTTTTTAATATTTATTTTTTAGTTTTCGGCAGACACAACATCTTTGTTTGTGGTGCTGAGGATCGAACCCTAGCCGCATGCATGCCAGGCGAGGGCGCTACCGCTTGAGCCACATCCCCAGCCCCCCATGATGTGTTTAAGAATCACTTGGGGGAAGCGGGGCTCTGGGCACAGTGGCGCACACTTGCCTATAATACCTGTAATCCCTGATGGAGACTGAGGCAGGTGGATTGAGAGTTCAGAGCCAGCCTCAGCAAAAAGCAAGGCACTAAGCAACTCAGTGAGACCCTGCCCCTAAATAAAATACAAAACAGGGCTAGGATGTGGCTCAGTGGTCAAGGGCCCGAGTTCAATCCCTAGTACTTCTCTCCCCCCCGCCCCCAAAAAAAATCACCTAGGGAGCTTATTGAAAATGTAGATTCTTGGGTCTGCTCTGAGGATGGTACCTCAGAGTTTGCATGCTTAACAAGTGTTCAGGCAATTTTAGGGTGAATGGTGAAGAAAACACTCTTGAGGATTCTAGAGTTCTAGACTAACTGGAATAAAGACAAGTAAGTGTCCTTCAGACCTGAGTGCTGACCTAGCCATAATGAGTGTTAAAAGAGTATATAAGAGAATTCCAAGTTTATGGTCCCAATTATATTTTATTTTTAAATATTTATTTTTTTAGTTGCAGTTGGACACAATACCTTTATTTTATTTATTTATTTCTATGTGGTGCTGAGGATCAAACCCAGTTCCTTGAATGTGCTAGACAAGTGCTCTACTGCTAAGCCACAACCCCAGACCCTAGGGTCCCAATTTTATTATCCTGTTTAAATTTGTATCTGATAATTTAGTGACGTTTCTTATCTGTTAATTAATCTTATTGGTTTCCCTTTTTTTACAGAGAAAAGTGGTAAAGAATCTACCTCACTGGGAATGTCATCCTTACCAACTTCAGATGGATTGAACCATCCAGCCCCTTCTTCAGGACGGAGTCCTGAGATTGGCAATCCTACGAGTCTTGCTCGCTCTGTCTCTGCTTCAGTCTGCCCTACCAAGCCCAGTGACCCAGATAGCATCGAACCTAAAGCTGTGAAGGCTTTGAAAGCTTCAGCTGAATTCCAGATAAACTCCCAAAAAAGAGAACATCTTCCTCTGCAAGATTTTTCTGGTCCTGCTTCCTCTACAGACCAGTGTCCAGCTATGCCTTTGCATAATTCATCAGAAGAAGCAGTTGTTGCAGATAATCTGGAGAAATCTGCTGAAAGAAGCACCCAGGGCCTCAAATGTTGTCTCCACACAAGACAGGAAGCTAGTTTATGTGTCACAGCTACAAGGATGCATGAGTCACAGGTGGCTGTAGGTGAAAAGAGTCGGCCTCCAGAAAATCAGAACCTGAGTCAAGTAAGTGGCTTTCAGCCTCACGAAGAACCAGAGAACGAACCACATGAAGCTGTACAGCATGATGCTCCACATGACCAAGAACATCTTTGTGACATGAGGGACCTTCATGAACTTCCTGAAGAGAGGCAGCAGGACCAACAAGAAATATCTTTGGAAACTACAATGAAAGGAGATGGGCTACAGCAGAGTGTGGATCTTCAAAGTACAAAAGAAAGTTTCCTACTTTCAGGACGCTTTGGCTGCACAGATTCAGAAACACTTATGGAAATAGATGTAGTCGAACAGTCCCTAGTTGCTGTTCTTAACTCAGCAGGCAGCCCCGAGAGTGTTGGTGCATGTGACCTCCCTTCAGGTAACCCCCTGATGGAAGTAGAAACATCAAAATGTAACCCCTTGCGGGGAAGTCTCAATAGTTCTGTTTCCACTCAGGATTTACAGCCCCCAGAAAGCAGTGCTGAAAGGTCTGGGACAAACAACGAATGTAGCAGCTACCCCCACTCTGTGGAGTCAGCAGAAGAGTCTTGTTCATCTGTAACAGCAGCCTTGAAAGAGCTTCATGAACTTTTAGTCATTAGTAATAAGCCAGCTTTTGAGAGTGTGTCTGAAGAAGTTGTCTGTCAATCAGAAAAAGGAGCCAAAAGCCAAACAGGTATTAAGGGCTTTTCAGAAAGATGGACCCAAAATGAGCATCTGAGCCACAGTGAACAGTGTTCACAAGTCTCCTTTTATCAGGCCAGGTCTGTATCAGCGGAGATGGAAAACTTGGGCACTGTCCCTGGAACTGGAATAGAAGGTGTAGGAAATACTAACTTCAGGGGTCCAGGTGATAGCCTGTTGGCTGACAAGGAAAGTGTCCCCAAATCTAAAGAGTCAGGAAGTGAGAGCAGCTGTGTCACTGTACCCTCAGCTGAATCATCTAATCAGTTACACTGTACCTTAGGTGCAGAAATTTCATCCAAACTTGTAGCAGGTGAGGAGGATGCACTCAGTCAGACTTCTGAGCAAACTTCGCCATCCAGTTTCATTTTGGTTAAAGACTTGGGTCAGGGCAGACAGAATCCAGTAACAGCCAGACCTGAAACCAGAGAAAATGTCTGCCCTGAAGCTGCAAGGCCGTTTCTCGAATTAGAGCCACTTACCAGCCATCCATCAAGTCCCTCCATTCTTCCACCATTAGTCTTTCCTGCCACAGATATTGACCGGATTCTCCGCGCCGGCTTTACTCTGCAGGAAGCTCTCGGGGCTCTGCATCGAGTCGGTGGAAATGCAGACCTTGCACTTCTTGTTTTGCTAGCAAAGAACATTGTAGTTCCTACGTAACTATGGGAAGGTGGGCTAGCCCGTACTCCATTCCCTTAACCGAAGCTCCCTACACACACACTCACATCATATACACACACACAGTACATGTAGAGACCTGCAAGCAGAATGTTGAGCCAGATTTTTTTTTTAAAGATTTTTTTCGGCCAAAGTAATTTATGATCTCTTGTCTGATGAATTTGTCTATATTACTTGTTAAAATTTGGGCCTTTTTAAATGTATTGGCAGAATGTGCATACAAAAGCTTTTTATTCTCTGAAGATGATGTATTCTGGAATAAAATGGAGGTTTTGTGTATAGCATACCATTTTAGAATGAGAGTGAATGCTTTGAAAAGCAGAAGCCATGAGAACTCCCACCACCCAGGCAACAGAGACTGCCCGGCTTCATGCCGCGGCCGTGCTGTAGGCAGGGATGGCTTGTTGACTCAGTCGTCAGTGTAGAAACTTGACCACACAGTTTGGTGTTTGGAATCATACCCATTGTCTATGTGTCATGATTAACCAATTGTAATAGGAAACAAATAATTCAGTTAATTTCCTAGAGCAGTATGTTTTTATTTGTGTACTCAGGCTTTGACATTTTAATAGGGTGAGCAGAAGGGTTTGAAGCTCAGGCTGCTTTGAGCGTCACAGGCTGCTGCGTGAGTTGCTTGCCAGGTATCTTAGGACATTGAATGGGGTATGGTGGAGGGATTAATGTTAGTGTGAAACACGGTGCTACCCAGATTTAAAAAGGGAAGGAAGAAAGACCCAATCGTAGCTCCCTTTGTAAATGTCAAGGACTGAATGAATAGGTAAACACTGGAACTTACTAGAGATTGGGTTTGTGCGCATCTCACTGACATCTCAGCCCTTAATGACTGAGGAAGAAGGCAGATTCCACCAACAAGTTGAATGCCAGCAGCCTACTTCATTTCTAACCTGTCTTCTAGGAGGTTTAAGAGCTCGCTTTGGACTGTGATCTGAGCATAACACTGAAGTGTGATAGGTACCTTGTCTCTGGTTCATCTTGGTGCTTAGAATGGTCAGTCTGTTTGTCCTTCGTGGCAGTGAAAATAGTAATTGTAGTTTCTGACCCAAGTGGCCTTGGTAGAGTTTTCCATCCCTTTCTTTCCTCAGGAGTTTCTTTTTAAGCAAGACTTATATTTATGTTTACCATGTCAAGTTAGAGTGGGGCATAATATATAGACGTATTTATTGTGGCCTTTTTTAATATAAAGACTAGCCCTTGGAAGTCATTGTCCTGTGGGCCCCACTGTGCAATAATCCTATTGGATAGGTTTTAGGTAACTTTTCTGGAAAATAAACTGTTCTCCTTGGACCTAGCAGGAATCTGAAATCTTGGTTTTCTTGAAAAGAATTTTGAGAATGATAATCCCTGACTTCAGGTTATAGTTTGCAACTTGTTTGAACCAGAAGCTTTCAAAGAGTGATTTCTGATCTTCATGTTAAATGATTTTGTCTAAAATCTCTCTCTGAAAACTCATTCTTCCCATCAGAATTCAAGTCATTGAGCACAACCAAAATGGAGGCTCATATCTCAGGAGCTTTTGATTAGAACTTTAATTTAGGGGTGCTTAGAGGCATTTCCCGACTCCCCATCCCAGTTTCTTTTTGCTGTGTTTGTATGTGTGCTGAGAGAGTTCAGCAGGGGGATGGCAAGTCACATACATGATCCTTTCTAAAGTGAGCAAAAGGCTGACGGAAAGAGTCATGGTTCACTGCTTTCCAGAGGGTGCCCTGAACAGCAGGTCAGCCAGTTGCCCTTAGGGTGCTCCTATCGACAGCCACATGTTGTGGACCCTTTGCCTGCCCTACACCAAAGATGGGAGATGCACTAGGAAACTGCTCAGAGGGTTTGTCGGCTGACTCTTCAAGCTGTGATTGTACTGAGGAGTTGGTGCTATGATTGAGACAAATTCCAGCAGCAATGCAGCAGGGCCCCTTGTCTGCTTGATGGGTAGTGGTTTGGGGGTATCTCAAGCCTATAAATCCTTGGGACCGCAGGGTGTGGGGGGGAATTTATTGATGATAGTAGACTTCTCTCCAAAGGCCCTCTGGGAAGATGGGCTCGCAGCTTGCTTGGTGAGCCATGGCCACTGAGTTTTTACAACATGGATATTTGGGAATTACTTCCAAGTGGGATATGTAATATCAGTCTGGAAAAGGATTTCATTACAGTAGCTTTTTATGTATGTATATGTATATTTATTTTTAGGAGAAAATCAAATAGACCTGTAGTCATATAGTTATTAGGAGTACTATAAATGAGCTTAACCCACTTGCCAAATATCCTCGTCCCTTTTGTCATTTTCTTTCATAGTTGCTTTTGATTTTTAAAATCTTTATCCATTTGTCTAAAAATAAAGTTGACATTGTTAGGGCCTTCGAGTGACTTCTGGAACATGCAGAGGGTATTACGGAACATTGCACTAGTGAACCTTCATTGTCCCATTTTTATTCAGTGTTTAGCATTTTAAGAACTCGGAAGTCAGGCACGCGGTGCACATCTGCAGTCCTAGCAGCTCAGGAGCCTAAGGCAGGAGGATTGCAAGCTTAAGGCCAGCCTGGGCAACATAGCAAGTCCCTGTCTCAAAAAGGGCTAGGGATGTAGCTCAGTAAGGGTGCCCCTGGATTTAGTCCCTAGTACCGCAAAAAAAAAAAAAAAACAACTCCAGGAATATAGAGATTCTAGATCGGCTTGTAAGAATAAGATGAAATCATTGGGCTGGACATGGTGGCGCTTGCCTGCAGTCCCAGCAACTCAGGAAGCTGAGATACAAGGATTGCAAGTTCAAGGCTAGCCTCAGCAACTTAGCAAAGCCCTAAACAACTTAGTGAGACCGTCTGAAAAAATTAAAAAGGGCTGGGGTGTGGCTCAGTGGTTAAGTGACCCTGGGTTCAATCCCTGGTACAAAAAAAAAAAAAAATTCCTTATTGGCCCTCTGGTCAACAGCTGACCTAACAGCCATAAGAAGCAGTGGGTAGCTCCTTTACATGACTGACAGTGCTCAATTCTGTGGCCAATACTTATCTCCAATGGTGGTCTCTTCACCAAAGAGCAGAGGGTTTTCCTGTAAAACTTGGCTATTTCTTGGGTTCCTGTGTGGAAGGTGCATTTGGTAACCTGACAGCTCTTCCTTGGGCTCTTCAGCAGTACGAACTGTTTCCACTTGTGCCTGTTCAGGCCTCAGCCACCCAGGAACCTTCAGCCTGCAGCGTAGGTTTTAGCCAGTGACAGGTCACCAGTTGCTTGGTCAAGCAAGCTGCACAGATGGTGAGCGCGTGGAACTCCCGCCAGGGGCTGTGGGTGGCTTAGTGGAGAAGCACTTGCCTGGCACCTGTGAGGCCCTGGGTTCCACCCCAGCAAAAAAGGTCACTTTTCTATCTTGCAGCCTTGTGGCTGCAGGCTCCTAGTCCCCACATTTTCTCCCAAAGCATTTCTCTAGCAGGGGGGTGCCTAGGAAGGACACATGAGACTGATTTCAATATTTCCAGTTCCTGTGAGAGCTGTCTGTTCTTCCCTCACCAGTTTTCTCGCCTCTAGCAGAAGCCATAGAAATTTAGTTGGTTTGACTTTTCAGCTCATGTCTATAAATACATGTGTCAGCTATCATACGTACAGTGATTGACAGATGTCTTACAGTTGATTTTACATAGATTAAAAACAAGCAATTTTGATATCTAGACGCATTCTTCACTTATGGTGGCTTTTGCCCACCATCTGTATAATAAACTGCCTTGTAAGCAACCAGCCTGGAGAGTCACACTGTATTCTGAATGCTTTTTCCTGTAGCTGCCATGGTCCGGGGTGAGCAGGGTGACTGTGCAGCTCAGATTTCCAACCAGGGGCAAGCACCATTGGCAGCTAACCAGGCTGGGAGCGTGGCTTAGCGGCAGTGCACATGAGGCCCTGGGTTCAATCCCCAGCACCAAAAAATACAAGCATATAAATAAGGAATGCCAGCTGGAATGAGCATTCTCTAGCACAAATGCCAAAAGCCAAAATTTCTCATTTGAGATTGGTGACAGTGTGGTCTGCGGCTGAAATAGAAATACAGTTATCACAAGTTTTCATCCTAGAAGATGAACGTACTTCTTACTGGTCTATAAAAGAGAAATGGCTTTGTTCCCCTGAGAATAATGCCAATATCTCTTAACAAAGTCAACTCAAAACCTGTCGTTGAGAATTAGAGGTGAAGTCTAGGTTCAAGTTTTATACTCTGTAGAGTGTCCTAGGAGCTCATGGAATAAACTGAAGAACTTAGGGCGGCCTTTTGATGTACTTGCTTTTCCTTTGTGCCTTAGTTTCTCAAAATAGCAGCAGTATCAAGTTTTGGTGGGGAATAAAAGTGGGAATATCACAGAAATCCAATGTTTTGAAAGAAGCCCTCCTGGGGATGGAGGGCACAATGTGGTTTTCTGGCTCACCGTCATCATTGGGTTTCCTGGATAGGAGGGTTGCTACGTAGGTTTTTACATCAGGCATACCAAAAGCACTTCCTAGAAGTTTTTTTGTTGTACCATCAAATCATACATGTTGGAAAGGTAGTTGGCTACTCCCTTCAAGCCTATGCAATCAGGTTGAACAAGAATTTATTGCTACTTCTTGATTCATCAAACACCAAATGCCCACATGCCAGGCACTGATGAACTTGGGTGACTAAAACAGATGGGAATACCCTGCCCTTGTGAAGCTTTTGGTAGGGAGACACGAAGCAAATTTTAGCTTCAAAAGCAAGACGTATTTTTTGTTTAATAGCATGCTTTTTTATTTTAAAAGTCAGCGGGTTCCAATTCAGTCAACTGAGGGGAAAGCTCATAGTGGAATCAGATGCTGTGAACCTAGAATTACTCTTTAAATTTTTATGTTAAGAGCAAAATCAGGAAGAAAAAAGGTGACATCTGTTAGAAGTGCCTGAAGAGGTCACCTATTGAGAAGTCAGGTTAGCATGCTGAAGGTAGGTGGGCAGGACTGAAGTCAGTTTGTGAAAGGTGACCCTGCGTGTGCACCTCTTCTGCCCAGACCTCCTTTCATGCCGCAGTGCCCTCCCACACCCCTTGAGTGGGGCTGCTCTGGAGTACTGACCATCTGGGCTCCCAGGAGTGAGCACAGTGCTATTTTAAAGCAGCCAAGTGCCACATGTGAAAATGGGAATCTAGAACAGAAAGTGTAGCAAATGATGGTTTGGGACCGGGTGGCAGGGAGGATTAATATACAGAAGGATTCGGGACCGCTCCATCAAAGAGACATTCTCTAACCCAGTATTTAAAATGTCACAATATATGTTGTCCTGAAGCATAGAGGTAGAATTTCTGAATCTTAAGCTCTTGGTGACTTCTGAGGTTTACAGCTAGGAAACATTCCCAAGGGTTTATTGGTTACCAATCCAGATCCTCGAGCTATACAACAGGAGAGGGTCCCGCTAATAAGTTTTAGGACACCATCTTATGGAAGGAACCCTGTCAAGGAGATGGCCCTGGGCGTAAGCATTAGAGAATGTTTCTTCTACCTAAAGAAGTTACTGTGTAGATGATGGGGAGGTGGTACAGAACACTAGATGAGGAGCCGTTCACAGAACTGTTTCTCTAAACCATGCAAAGGTTTTCCTTAGCTACATACAGGGAGGAACTGTGCTGGGGCATTTTTTTTCCTGGGAAAATGCATCTAACGGAGATGATTTTCTTTACAAGAGTTTGTTTTACCTTGAAGGAACACATCTGTAGCCTACAGGGTGGACCTGCATTTCATGCCAGAGCTAGTCAGATTGATTTGTCCACTCCTTAGCCAGACCACTTACTCCTTCCTTAAAGCCCCACAGATTTTGAGTTTATGTTCCCCATCCCAAACATGACCATCTGACTGCGTAGATTTCTGTTCTCACTGCCCTGATCATCCTTTTGAGATAATCCTGGTGATCCACACAGCAACTCAACACGTTGACTGAATTTGCCTTGTCACTGTGTACCTATCATGAAAAATAATTTCTATGTTTTTATTCCAAATCTCGTCTTCGTGGCAAGTTGGGCTAATGGTCTTTGCACTCAAGAAGGAGTCGTTTACCAGTTTTATAGCCATATTTGGCAAGCTGTAGTAAAATGAAAACCCTTCTTTTCTTTCCCTTATTCTTGCAGTTGCTCATATATTGCAAGATATTTTGACTTTTCTTTGAGCTTTGAGACTACTGCATCTTAAGAACTAGGCTGGCAAGACAGGTTGCCAGTGGCTCACTCACTCCCAAATGCTTTGGTTTTGAGAGTTAGGAAAACTCTTGAGAACTTAAGGGAACCAAACTCAGGAATCCCAAAGTCGGTTGCGTTGTGCCATTTAGGGTTTAGGGCTGAACATAGGATCTGTCTGCAGCTGAGCAAAATAGATGCCTTTGAGTTTGAATTTTTGTCACATACTGAAATGTAAGTCAGCCCTAAATGATCAAAACACTTTATTTTCTTTTTTAATAGGAACTTTCTGAAGAAAAAAGTGGTGTGTAAAAACATTTGATATTTAAGACAATAAAGTTTTTATCATAAGAGTTTTTGTTGGATCAATTTCTTTTAAATTGAGGTGGTGACTTCATTTTTGTCCTTGTCTCCGTGTCCCTGCCCCTTATACCCAGGCACTGTGATTTGTGACTGTGTGCCTGAACAGAAATGAGCAGCCCAGAGCCACCTTCTGATACAAAAGGCGTGCCCTCTATAGCCCTGGGTGTGGTGACTGAGATGTGTCTGGAGCCAGGCTGCTGGGTGTGAGCTCCAGCTTGTTGCTTGTTAGGAGTGACTGGGAAGTTGCCTGACTTTCTGTGCCTCAGTTTCCTGTCTGTAAGCCAAAGGCTCTTCAGGGTGGTGCTGGGATCGAAGAAGTGAATGCATGTAAAGTGCTGAGAATAGCACCCAGAGGGCTCATTAGATGTGAGGAGTGTCATTCAGAGTGTTAACCTCAGGGCTTGGAGGATGCTAAGCTGACCTCCCAGAGGCTGGATAGCTGTCTAGTCGTGTGCCCTGGGGAGGGGCCTCCTGGTGCAGGCAGGCAGTGTCCTAGGCCAGCTGCCAGGATCGGCTCTCTTCAGCATGTGGCTTCCCAGCCTCCGTGGACATGACCACCCAGCTGATGTGCCAGGGAAGGAGATGCGGTGTGGACCAGGCCTGGAAGTGGTGAACATGGCCTCCCCACCCATAATTCACTGGCTGCAACTCGGTCACGTGGCTATACCAGACTGCAAGGGCCTGTGATGTGTGATCTACTTTTGTGCCCAGAAGACCAGAGTAGTTTGGTGGTCAGGTAGTAGTCCTTCAGTTTCTCCTCACTCACAGACCACACATACCATTTCCCCAAAGGACGTGGCCCTATGTTTAGTCCTGGCATCCCACTGACAAGTCACAGTCACCAGTGGTACCCTGTCCTCTCCTTCCGGTCTTGATTGCAACTCCTATGGTCTGACCAACTGAACTCGGGTAACTTAACCTGATCTTTCCCTATAGACAGTGATGGAGCAGGGACTGCAGTAGCAAATCCTACTAGGAAATGAGAATCAGGAAATTAACTGTCACTGGCCCCTGGCCCCAGCAATTAGAAATCACACCGGAAAGGCATTATGAAGAGCTTTAAGATTCGGATTATTGGGCTGGGGCTTCAGCTCAGTGGTAGAGCACTTGCCTCGGGTTTGATCCCCAGCACCTCATAAAAATAAACAAAGATATTGTGTCCATCTACAACTAAAAAAAAAAAAAAAAAAGTAAGCTGGTGCACATCTAGGGGCCTGACGGTCTCCAGACGCTTGGAAGGTTTGGTGGTTTCTTCGACATAACAATTTACTCAGTAAGTTTTGGAATTTTTGCTTCGGGTCCATTCTGCGTGGTGGTAACCACACTTGTAATAACCGTACCTGTGATGCCAGTGATCCTTCCAGCCTGATTCATTGCTGGCTCTCTGCCATTCTGCTCTCAATGGCACCTGCCTCAAGTTCATCTGAAATATATCTGGGGAAACTTTAATAAGATTTTTGCTATAGGGCTGTGTCTTACTGGGCTTTGGTATTCAAAGGCTTATTTCAAACTTCTCTCTTACCTGGAGTAAGAGTAAGGGAATTTTGTGTGTGTGTGTGTGTGTGTGTATGTGTTTCTGGGGATCAAATCCAGGGCCTCACACATGGCTAGGTAAGCATTCTACCACTGAGCTGTACACACAGCCTAGATTTTTTTTTTTTTTAAACTAGGGATGTTTTACCACTGAGCCACATCCCCAGCCCTTTTTATTTTTATTTTGAGACAGGATCTTGCTAAGTTGCTTAGGACCTCACTAAATTTCTGAGACTGGCTTTGAGCTTGTGATCCTCCATGAGCCACAACACCTGGCTCGATTTCCTTTTTAACAACCAAACCAGTATCATATTTTATTTTTTAATTTTTTTTGTGTGTGTGTGTGCTGGGGATTGAACCCAGGGCCTTATGCATGCAAGGCAAGCACTCTACCAACTGAGCTATATCCCCAGCCCTATTTTAAATTTTTCTTAAATGTAAAGTGCATTTATTTAAAAAAAAAATACAAAGTAAACTATAAGTCTGTCTTTGTTTAAGGCCTTTCCCGGGTTCTCTTTTTCCGGGTTCATTTACCTAAATGAGGTGTTCTTTACTTGCAACCCTAGGCAGGCAGGAGGGAAGATGCCTTCTGGGGTGGAGCTGGGTGCTGGGAACACAGTCTCCCCGGAGAACTGCAGCTTAGGCAGTGCCTGGCCCCAGCCTGCAGCTCCTGGGAGCACAATATCATATTTTAGATGTTTGTACTAGTTAAGGTGGGCTGCTAGAACAAACCAACCCCAAATATCAGTAGCCTAACCAGTAGAGCCTTGCTTCTCCTTCACCAACAGTCCAGCTGGGCCTGGTCAGGAGAGTGGGAAGGGAGGGCAGCGTCCTCCATGCTGCCATTCAGCAGCCAGGCTTGCAGCAGCTATGCCATTTCTCTCATCCAACTGGAGATGATGGAGGAGAGAAGCGAAGCTCCAGGGTCTTTATGGGCCAGACCTGGAAATGGTGCTTTCATTTCTTACACAAATCAGCAAACAGACCTGGCCTCAGCCAGCGGAAGGAGAAGCTGGGAAATGTGGACTTGCTGGTGTCCAATAAGAAGAGACGGAGCTGACCAGGCGTCAGGGTGCACACCTGTCATCCCAGCAGCTCGGGAGGCTGGGACAGGAGGATTGCAAGTTCAAAGTCAGCCTCAGCAATTTAGTGAGGCCCTAAGCAACTCAGTGAGACCCTGTCTCTAAATAAAATACAAAATAGGGCTGGGGGTGAGGCTCAGTGGTTGTGGGCCCCTGAGTTCAATCCCTGGTACCAAAAAAAAAAAAAAAAAAGATCTAAATCTCAAGATATGTAGCAAGGCGAACTACCTCCATCTTTCAGGAAGGGCTAAATTGTTGTGGGTCCTCTTACTGGTTCAGAGCTGGTCGTGTGCTAATAGGATTAACCAATCACCAATCCTTGACTAGGGAGTTTGTCCTAGAACAACAGAGCTAGTGTGGCTTGGCTCCTCCTAGAAAGTCACTAACAGCCAAATTTTCCCTGCCCAGCCCCAGATATATAAAACCAAAGTGCCCCGAGCCAGCAGTACTGCGTCACCCAGCCCGTGCCGCCTGCATCAGACCTGTCCTGAATCCTGTCGGCTCCACCTGAAAATATATTAGCAGTCTGGTCATTTCTACAAGCCTATTCCCAGGTACCCTCCCCGCTGTCCTGGACTTTTGGGACAGGTTTCCCGTTCCTCCTCTCTCCACCTGCATTTTGGGTTCTGTTAGATTAAGGGCTCTCCTCCAAACCCCCAGTGGGCTCCCATCTCACTCAAGGCATAAGCCAGTCCTCCCAATTCACCTCTCTGCCTCACCTCCTGCCCCCCTTCCACCCGCTCCAAGCCACCCTGGCTCCAGGACACCATGCCTACTCCACCACGGGCCTTGGAACTGCTGGTCCTCAGCCTGGCGCTCTTTCCCAGGTGCCTTCACGGCTTTCTCATGACCTCCCGGTCTCCGGTGTCACCCCTTGAGGCCTTCTCCTGCTACTTAATCTAAAATTGTGGCCGCCTTCACTTCCGACACCACTTCCCTTCTCTGCACCAACTGCCACCTGGCATTCTCTGCATGGCATCACGACTCTCTTCCCCACTAGAATGTCAGCGCCAGGCCAGGCGCACGCCTGTAATCCCAGTGCTCAGGAGGCTGAGGCAGGAGGATCACGGACCTCAGTAACTTAGTGGGCCCTAAGCAATTCAGTGAGATTCAGTCTCTACATAAAAAATAATGCCAGGCGGGCATGGTGGCACACACCTGTAATCCCAGTAGCTCTGCAGGCTGAGGCAGGAGGATCGCAAGTTCAAACCCAGCCTCAGCAATTTAGTGAGGTCCTCAGCATCTCAGTAAGACCCTGTCTCTAAATAAAACACAAAAAAGGTCTGGGGATGGGGCTCAGTGGTTAAGCACCCTTGGGTTTAACCCCTTAATACCAAAGAAAAAAGAATGTAAGGTCCAGGAGGGGAGGGTCCTTTCCACCACTCTATCCTCAGTGCCCAGGAACCGTGCTTTGTGCAAAGTAGCCACTTAAGTGTGTTTTGAGTAAATAAATCCACGAATACCATTATACTACCTCAGTTTCCTCATTTCAAAGGCCATAATGGGTTGTGCCACCGGTGGCGTGGCATGGCTAATGGCAGAACTGTGGCTGGAACCTGGTCAGTTTGCAGGTGTAGAGATTCCAACCCTTGAGGACTGCTGACTTTGAGTTTGGTTGATTTAAAAGACAGACGGGGGACATAGGAAGGTTAGTAAGTGTGCAGGCTTCCATGGGAAATAGCATTTTTTAAAATTTATTTATTTATTAGTACTAGAGATTGAACTCAGGGGTGTTCTACCACTAAGCCCATCCCCAGCCTTTTTTATTTTATTTTGAAACAGGGTCTCACTAAGTTCCTTAAGGCCTCGCTAAGTTGCTGAGGCTGGTCTTGAACTTGTGATCCTCCTATCTCAGCCTCCTGAGATACTGGGATTACAGGCATGCGCCCAGCAGTGTTTTTTTAAAGAATTATCATACTCATATGTAAGACTCATTTAGGACAACAGTACCTCTCTGCTAATGGTTGTGAAGATGGTGATCAGAGTCCCTCACCCATTGTCTCCCTAGAATAGAAAGGCCCCATCTGGGGCAAAGAGAAGCAACCTTACATTTGTTCTCGATTCTCTTTCTGATCTTTTACTTCCGTGGCCAACTCAAATTTTTCTGTATCCCAAGAATTAAAAACTCATCGTCAGGCTGGGGGACAGGTAATCAGTGGTAAAGTTCATGTTTATCAGCCCTGAGGTCCTAGGTTCCATCCCCAGCACAGTACCCCCGCCCCCCAAAAAGAGAAAAAAAATAATCAGAAGATATTTATCTAACGAACATTTAGTCACATGTGCCTGACACTGAGTTGGCGCTGTGGGCACAGCACTGAGCGAGGGTGGTGTCCCCGGGGAGCTGGCATCGTAACAGCCTCTGGAGAGCCTCGTCAAGCAAAACAATGAATACCAGGTAGTGGAAAGGGGGACTTAGGGAGGGACTCAAGGTCACCAAGAAACAAGTCTTCTGAGGAGATAAAGTTTAAATTGAGCGATGACTGATGGGCAGGCTCCTGCCAAGTGAGGGCTTAGGGTATATTAGGTTAGGCAGAAGGAATAAAGAGGCCCGACTCTCTCTTTTGAGTTGAACCCAGGGCCCCAGGCAGGCTGGGCAAACACTCTACCACTGACCCTTGTCCCTAGTCCTTTTTGTTTTTTATTTTGAGACCAGGCCTCTCTAAATTGCTGAGTCTGCTCTGGGACTTAAACCCTGCCTCAGCTGCCCAAATATCTGGCATGCACCACAGCGCCCAACAGGGTTTTTAAAAATCATTACTAATTCTCGGGCTGGGGATGTGGCTCAAGCGGTAGCGCACTCGCCTGGCATGGGTGTGGCCCGGGTTCGATCCTCAGCACCACATACAAACAAAGATGTTGTGTCCACCAATAACTAAAAGAAATAAATATTTAAAAATTCTCTCTCTCTCTCTCCCCATCTCTCTCTCTCTCTCCTCTCTCTTAAAAAAAATTATTACTAATTCTAAAGTTGCCACCCCCAGTGCAAGCATGGCTTTTATTCCAAATTCTGTGACAGGAAGTTATCGGGACAGCTGATGTCCCAATTTTTAGCAGCTCATCATGCTGACTAGATGAAGATGGGAAAGACCTGGGCATTTATTTATTTATTTGGTGCCAGGGATTGAACTCAGGGGCACTCTCAGGGGCACTTGACCACTGAGCCGCATCCCCAACACTATTTTGTATTTTATTTAGAGACAGAGTCTCGCTGAGTTGATTAGAGCCTCGCTAAATTGCTGAGGCTGTCCTTTGAACTTGCTATCCTCCCTCCTCAGCCTCTTGAGCCGCTGGGATTACAGGTGTGCGCCATTGTGTCCAGCAGAACTGGATGTTTAACCATTTAAAATGCAATGGCCAAGCCCAATGTGATGGCGCACACCTGTAATTCCAGCTGTTCAGGAGACTGAGGCAGGAGGATCAAAAGTGCAAGGCCAGCTTCAGCAACATGGTGAGACTCTGTCTCAAAATAAAAAAATATAAAGGGCTGGGTGTGGCACACACCTGAAATCCTCGTAACTCAGGAGGAAATTAGAAGAGTTTGTGAGACCCTGTCTTCAGATTTAAAAAAATAAAAAGGGCTGGGGATGTGGCTTACTGATTAAGCAGCCTTGAGTTCAATCCCCAGTACCAAAAATTAGATAAAGTAAAATAGCCTAGATTCCAACAGTCTTGCTTTGGTTTACCGTAGAGTGTCTGCGCTCAGGTGCTGGGGATGAGGTTTGAGACCTCAGATGGCTGTGGTTATAACAACCAGCCCCCCTTGTCTTCTCTCCAGTGGGGATGAAACAGCTTCCCAAGTCTGTGTTCCCTCCTTCCTCTACAAACACAAATATATATTTGCCTTGAGTTGCGAGAAAAGGGAGGAATCAGTTCCTTTCCTCCGTGGGTTTTTTTTTTTTTTTGGTTACTGGAGATGGAACCCAAGGCCTCACACACCCTAGACAAAACTCTACCACCAAATTACACCCTGGTCACCCCCATTTAAAAAAAACAATGCTGTCCAATGACTTTTTAGGGGTGTGGCAGGATGAAGCTGCCATAATTTTCTTCCCCTATTTTTCCTTCTCTGAGGTAGTACACATACATCTTTGAAAAGAAGAATAAAGAGACCCAGTGCCCCTCTCTGGGGTCTTTCCTCACCTGATGGCATTTAGCACTATGTGACTTGGGGAAGACAATATTTAAAAACAAAAAACAAAAACAAGAATAAACAAGAACAAAATCATTTTTCTGTGTCACTGATTTGGGAACTACTGCCGGTGACTTGCCTGAGGCCCTGTCATGAATCAGCAGAAGCTTTTGATTCTTGATGCCTTTGACTCAGAGTCTCATGCGCGTCCCATGTGACTGGTGAACTCTTGTGCAAGAAATGAATGGGCTTCAAGTTGAAGGCTAAGTGACTCCCAGCACAGGGCGGATAGGCACCTTGTGCTTTTCAGTTGCCCTCTTTGTGACAAACAGGATGGATCCCGAGTAGACGTCTGAACTCTATACATGGAACAATTATCTGCATATGAAGGCAAACTTGGCCTCTTTTCCTTCCCTGCAAGAAGTCTGTCGGACTAAAATGTGCTTCTCTTCTGCCACACACTCACATACCTGTGCAAACCTTAGAGACCCTGGAGGCAAGGAGACTGCATGTTCCTCCCAATGTTGTGGTTTTTTGTTTTGTTTTGGTTTGGTTTTTAATTGTAGATGGCCATAATATCTTTATTTATTTTTATGTGGTGCTGAGGATTGAACCCAGTACTTCACACATGCAAGGCAGGCACTCTACCACTGAGCTACAGCCCCAGCCCCCTCCCAATGTTGTTAAAAGTTGAATGGGGAGCTGGGTTCAGTGGCACACACCTGTAATCCCAGCATCTTTGGAGGCTGAGGCAGGAAGATGGCGAGTTCAAAGCCAACATCAGCAAAAGTGAGGTGTTAAGCAACTCAGTGAGTTCCTGTCTCTAAATAAAATAAGTGTCCCCGAGTTCAATCTCTAGTACCCACTTCCCCCCAAAAAGAAAATTGAATGGGACCATCTCCCAATGTATGCAGATGAAAACAATATGGCAGAGATGTCACTCCCTCTGGGTGTGGTGGCACAGAGACCAGGTAGAAACCCCAGGTATATAACCAAGAAATAAAAAATACCTATTGAATCTGCCACAGACAGCCAATCACAGGAATGTTTTGCTTGGCAGAAGGTGGCTTGATTCACAGCAGAGAAGGATCACAAAGCTTGCTTCGACTTTGGGCTGAGTGGGTCCTCATGAGCCAGGGCTACTGCATCTGGCAGAGTGGGATGTGAAGGCCCAGCCAGGAAAGAGAGGGAAGGGAAGTACACTTCCCTTCTCCTTGCCACAAACACCTTTAGACACCTGGTGACTTCTTTTGTCATTCAAAGTAACTTGTCTTTTGCCCTCAATCTTTCCTCTGCCTACCTAGGAACTACAGCCTCAATTTCCACCTGTCCTTATTCTGCCTTCTGCCCAGCTCCACAGAGCCATCTTTTATTTTCCTGAATTCAGTCTGAAGAATTATTATTATTATTATTTTGGTGCTGGGGATCAAACCCAGGGCCTTGTGCATGGGAGGCAAGCACTCTACTAATGGAGCTATATCCCAGCCCTAAGAATTACTTATTCTTACACAAGAATAAGTAATTTTGTTACTATAGAGACTTTGATTCTTTCTATAAAGGTTAGCCTGAGCCCCCAGGGCTGCCTCCTAGAATAGTCTGTAAAAATGTAAAGGCCCAGAAAAGCAGAGGAATGTTTTCTGGAGCCAATGCCTGGGTTGCTGTCTGGGCTCCACCAACTGTGGTATGATTGCAGGCAAATGACTTAACTCCCGGCCCTCAACTTCTTCATCTGTACAAGAGGGGCCACAGGAGGCGATGGGAGCCCAGTGTACTTGGCGCACGCCGGCCCTCATCACTGGTGGTATTGGCAACTCTGTCCTCGCCCAGAAGTGGTAATGAATGCAGCAATCCCAGCTTCCTAAGAAGAGCTTCTCTTTCCTTTTCCCAAGCTTATTTTGTCCCCTTCTCCAGTCACATAAAAACAAAATAACTGCCAGGTGAGGTGGCACAAGCCTGCAATACCAGTGACTCAGGGCTGAGGCAGGAGGATCACAAATTCAAGGCCAGCATCAGCACTTTAGCAAAGCCCTAAGCAACTTAGTGAGAGCCTGTTACAAAATAAAAACCTGGGTTCAACCCCCAGTCTCACAAAAACAAACCATCACCACTTTGGGTTTCTTCCTTGGAAAACTAAGAAATGGGGAATCTTTTGCATGTATGTGGGGCGGGGCCCCTCTTGGATGACCTGTGGGAGTTTCAGATGTTTGCTGGGGTAACTTGTAGGGATAAGACAGCCTGAGAAGGGACAAGGAAAGACTGGGGAGCCAGATCTCAGAACTGGGCTAAGAATTCAAGAAGAGACTAATGAATGTGTGAGGACAAATCTATTTGGGAACCAAATGAGAGAACTGAGCCAGGTAGGAGACTGAGAATTCCTAAGTGTAGATTTGGTGAATTTGGGGATGGGATGGAGGTGGGGATGCGGGAGCGGAGGCTCTCCAGATAGTGGGTCTGAAAAAGTGGGATCTGGGTAGGAAGGGCCTTAGACCTGAAGGGGAAGTTAAGAGGGTGTATTTTGGAGGTGGAGAGGGTCACCAGGAACCTGGAGCAACTTGAAGGTTAGGGCTCTCCTTGAGCATGAGCGACTGGGAAGTGGCCACCTGATGGGGCCCAGGTAGCCTGGGTTCTGGAGGCAGGGCCAAGGTAGTGTGCTAGGGCCTTTGTCTGCTGGCTGAGGGGTCCCAGTGGCCTGGGTCTGAGCACTGAGGAGGCCCAGGGGGACTTTGGTGGGGTCTGCTGGCTGAGGGGTCCTGGGACAGGTGGTCTGTGGGCAGGGTTCACCTGCAAGGTGGGTCTGGGGCCCAGGTGGGTCTGGGGCCCAGGGTCCAGGGCTGCTAGGAGGGTCTATGGCTGGGGTCTTGGGCTCCCAGATGGTCTGTAGGCAGAGGTAGATCTCTGGGCTGGGGTCCCAGGCCCAGGTGGGTTTGTAGGCAGGGGTCCCTGGGCACAGGTGGGTCTGGGACCCAGGAAGGTCTCTAGGTGGGGATCCCAGGGCACAGTTAGGTCTTTAGGTGGGAGTCCCTGGACACAGGTGGGTCTGGGGCCCAGGTGGGTCTGTAGGCTGAGTCTGGGACCCTGGTGGATCTGTAGGTGGGGGTCCCTGGGCACAGGCAGGTCTGTGTGAAGGGGTCCCTGGGCCCAGGTGGGTCTGTAGGTGGGGGTCCCTGAGCCCAGGTGGGTCTGTAGGTGGGGTCCTGGGTCCAGGCGGGTCTGTAGGTGGGGGTCGCTGGGCCCAGGAGGGGTCCTTGGGCTCAGGCGGGTCTGGGGCCCAGGTGGGTCTGTAGGCGGGGTCCCTGGGCCCAGGCGGGTCTGGGGTGGGGGTCCCTGGGCCCAGTTGGGTCTGTAAGTGGGGTCCCTGGGCCCAGGTGGGTCTGTAGGTGGGGTCCTGGGCACAGGCGGGTCTGGGGCCCAGGTGGGGGTGTGGGCGGGGTCCCTGGGCCGCGGTGGGTCCGGGCCGGGGTCCGCCGCCGTCGGCAGGCCCGCGTGCGCCGCCGCCCGCCCTGGCGCCGCCCCGCCTGACATCAGTTCCTGCCGCCGCCGCCGCCGCCACCGCGCACCGCCCGCGGCCTCCTTCCCCGCCGGCCGCTCGGGAGCCGCCGGGCCGCGGCGGAGCGAGGGCCCGGGCGAGGCGAGGGCCGGGCGGCGGGCGCCGGGCCCCGCGGCCGGCACGACGGAGCCCCCGCACGGCCGGCGGCAGCGGTTGGCGGCAGCCCCGGGCCCGCGGCGCGGGAAGCGGCGGCGGGGCGGCGGCGGCGGCGCCGGCGCCATGGAGCCGCGGGAGGTGAAGGACCGGATCCTGGAGAACATCTCGCTGTCGGTGAAGAAGGTGAGCGCGGCCGCCGCCGGGCCGCAGGGCTGGGGCGGCGGCCTCGGAGTCACGGAGCCTGAGCCGCCGCGTCGCGTCCCTGCACCGGCGGCGGGTCCCCGCACCCCGGGCCGGTCCAGCCAGGGCCTCTCGGCGGGGCCAGGTGCTGCGGAGCACCTGTCAAGGGCACGCGTCGGTGGCCATCCCAGGAAAGAAGGTGGAGTTCATCCTGCGACCCTCGGGGCGGCCGGAGTGGATGTCCCCTGTTTATGACTGATCCCTGGGTCACCTGGTCAGCCCCGAATCTGGGAGCTGGGGACGACCTGGTGGGGACAAGACTCACTAGGTTATTTCATCACTTCAGGGAACCAGACAAGGGGACTCGTGAAACCACCCTGTGTGTGAATAACTGCTCTATCCCACTGACATTCCTCAGAAAGTGACCCGGGCCAGCAGTTTTACCCTTCCTAAAGACGAGTGTGGCTTAAAAAGAAAAGTAGACCCCAAATAATCTTGCAAAAAGCCCATCGGGATGTGACACGGGCGGTCCAATGAACTTTTATTTTGTTGTCCTGAGCTTTGAGAATGCAATGGGGTCTCGGTTCGTCTTGCTCACTGGGAGGCGTGCAGGAGGAGCAAGGACTTTGTTAAAAAGCAGAGCATCTTTTTTTAAATTATTATTATTGATTTAAAAAAAATAAATGACAGCGGAATGTATTGCAACTCTTATTACACATATACAGCACAAGCAGTGCATCTGTCACAACAGAAAAGACTGCCGAGCTTTCCAGTCTAATCTGGGCCAACTATGGCTCTAGGAAGGCCAACAATTTTGTTTTTAAACTTCAAAAAAAAAAAAAAACTTGGGGAAGTCCTAGACAGAGAGGTGGTAGACATGGGCACCAACCATGTAAAACATGGATCATTTGAAGGCAGAGATCCACTCTGTACATCCAGCTATTGTTCGTGAAGGAGTTGGGTGTGCTTTGTCAAGATGCTTAGAAATTATGTGTTTGTCCAGGCACATTTTATTGAGCTGTAATGCATCCCAGAAAATATAAGTTGCTCAATAGAAACTGGAAACTCTTCCCTGGGTGCATCCCAACTCAAGGCCTGTCTAGCATCACAGTTGAGAACAAGAATTCTAGAGTCCTTCTCCTGGGGAATTGAATCCTCACCCTGACAATTAGTAACCCATAACCTTAACCTCTCCCTGTCTCAGTTTCTCATCTGTTAACAGAGGAATAAAATTAGTTGTTGTGAAGATTTAATAGAAGTATGAGAGCGTCTAGCATGGTGCTGGTACTTTTCTGTTGGTGGTAGAACCAGCTCTGCATCTTCAAGGTCTGAGGTGGGCCAGGCGCCTCTCGCCCTCCAGATTGTTATGTAACCCATTTGTACTTGGTAGCACTTCCTCTGTGTGCTTGTTTCAGACAACTGCCATAGGATTCCTGCATCCTGAAGTGTGTGTGGTTTTCTGAATCAGGGTATCTGCTTCTAATGGGAATCAGTTCAGCTACAGCAACAGACATCGCAGGCTAGCAGTCTGCAGGTCAGATTTGTCCTCGAATACCAGTCTTACCTGAATTTGTCATACAGCACCCTGAGAGTTGCTTTGCCTTTGTTCCACTCCTGCCACCAGTAAAATGGTCTTACGGGGTTTTTGTTGTTGTTTGTTTGTCTTTGGTACTGAGGATGGAACCCAGGGGCCCTCTACCACTGAGCCACATCCCCAGCCCTTTTTGTTTTATTTTGAAACAAGGTCTCATTAAATTGCTGAGGGTCTTGCTAAATTGATGAGATTGGCCTTGAACTTTTGAGTCTCCTGCCTCAGCCTCTCAAACTGGGAGTACATTACTGCTTCTTTTTAAAGGATGTTGCAGGAAGAAAATGAGATGTGTATTTCTGCAAAAAAAAAAATGTTGTGTTGGGGCTGGGGATATAACTCAGTGGTAGAGCACTTGCTTAGCATGAGCAAGGCCTGCCGGGGGTTCAATCCCCAGCACCACAGAAAAAGAAAAAAAAAAAAAAAAAAAAAGAAAGGTGTGCTGTGTATTACTGTGTTTACAGAGTATTTTCGAACTTTTTTTTTTTTTTGGTGCCAGGGATTAAACCCAGGGGTGCTTAACCACCAAGCCACATCCCCAGCCCTTTTTTATATTTATTAGAGACAGGGTTTCTCTGAGTTGCTGAGAACCTGCTAAGCTGCTGAGGCTGGGTTTGAACCCACGATCCTCCTGCCTCAGCCTCCTGAGTCACTAGGATTACAGGCATGCGCCACCATGCCTGGCCATTTTCAAACTTTTTATTGTAAAGTACATATGGGGGCTGGGGTTGTGGCTCAGTGGTAGAGTGCTGGCCTAGCATGCACAAGGCACTGGGTTCGATCCTCAGCACCACATAAATGTAAAATAAAGATATTGTATCCACCTAAAACTTAAGAATAAATATTAAAAAAAAAAGAAAGAAAAGTACATATAGAGAAGTACAGAGAGCCTAAAAGAACAGCTTAGTATGTTCTCACACTCACATATCTGACCCCTAGGACTAGAAACAATGTGACCATGGTCCCAGAAGTCCCTCCACCCCAAGAAGCTGTGTCCTCAAGTGCTCCCCCACCCCAAGCAGTTGAGTTCAGCAATTTTCCCTCCCTCCCTCCCTTCCTTCCCCCTCCCTCTCTCCCTCCCTCCCTCCCTCCCTCCCTCCCTCCCTCCCTCCTTCCCTCCTTCCTTCCTTCCTTCCTTCCTTCCTTCCTTCCTTCTTCTTATCTTATTATCAGTAGTCTTATTATTACTATCAGTAGTAGTTGGTAGTAGTAGTAGTGTTGGTACTGGGGATTTAACCCAGGAATGCTTTACCATTGAACTACATCCCCAGCCCATTTTTATTTGGAGACAACCCCAAGTTGCTGGGGTTATAGTCGTGTGCCGTTGTGCCCAGATGAGTTCCACTGTTGTCACACCTAGATTTTGTGATGAGCAGCACATACTCTAGCACCCAAGAGGTGACATAGCTGTTATCCTACCTGAATCTCAGGGAACTGTGTTCTTGGATGGAGATAGGATTTGGGGGCTATTAGAGTCAGACGGTCAGCAGGACGGAACAAACCCCATGGTTCCACGGTTCTGGGCAGGGAGCGAGTAGCAGAGGCTAACAAAGCCTGTGGTTGCTGAGTTGTTAATAGAGAAGCATCCTAGCAGGATGTTGGCATTTTGTTTCTTTTGTTTCTTTATTTGATATTATTAATAATTTATTAACTTTTGGTACCCGGGATTGAACCCAGGGGCGCTTTACCCCTGAGTTATATCCCCAGCCCTTTTATTTATTTTTATTTTGAGGCAGGGTCTCCCTAAGTTGCTAAGGCTGGCCTTGAACTTGCGATCCTCCTCCTGAGTCTCTGGGATTACAGGGTGCTTCACCGTGCCCTGCGTGTTGGCATTTTGGATGGCAGGTGGTTCTACTAAACAGCATCATCTCCAGGGAAGGGAAGGCAGTGGTTTTCAGTTTTGAGTTTTGTCCTGTTTTTGAGGAGTGAGTCTGTTAAGTACACATGCAGTTTAAGCAAATGATCTGCTGTAAGAAGCAGCCTTGGCCCTCTAACAGTTTGGGGGGGAAATTTTAAACATAATTAGGGTTCTGGGGGTGGTGGCACATTGCCTGTAATCCCAGGGACTCGGGGGTCTGAGGCAGAAAGATCCTAAGTTTGAGGCCAGCCTGGGAAATTTAGCAAGACCTTGTCTCAAAAACTTTAAAAAAGGGCCAGAGATGTAGCTCAGCGGTAAAGCACCCCTGGGTTCAGTCCCCAGAACCACAAATTAAAAATAACTAAATAAGGGGCTGGGGCTGTAGCTCAGTGGTTGAGTTGCCTGGAATGTGTAAGGCACTGGGTTCGATCCTCAGCACCACATAAAAAAATAAAGATATTGTGTCCATCTACAACTAAAAAAAAAAATAACTAAATAAATAAAATAGCTAGGGCAAGGAGAAGCCCTCAGAGAAGGAAAGCTTCACCAAGTCCTGATAAATTGGTAGAATTTAGAGAAGGAAAAGAAGCAGGCATCCAAACTAGAAGGAGCATCCCAAGGACGTGGAGCCCTCCAGGTGGTCTTCTGGGGACAGTGAGGAGTGTGCAGGGGATCCTGCTGGGTGGGGCCAGAAGGTGCTCTCTGGGGAGCCATCCAGCCTAGAAGCTGAGACACAGGCTTCAGAGGTTCTCGGGCCTGGAGTCCGGGTTTGTCATTGACTGTGTCAGTCCTGGCTGGTGACAGCCAGAACCTACTGGTGTTCTAAGGAGAATTCAGTTGCCTGTGGTACTCAGCACCCAGCCGGCGCCTGTGCACTGTGAGGCCTAAACCAAAGGAAGCCACCATTATGACTTGGGAGCAGTTTTCCGTGTGTGTCACACTATGCTTTTTTTTTTTTTTTTTAATACTTTTTTTCAGTTGTCAATGGACCTTTATTTTATTTATTTACACGCAGTGCTGAGAATTAACCCAGGGCCTCCTACATGCTAGGCAAGTGCTCTCCCCCTGAGCCCCAGCCCCACACTATGCTTCCTATAAGCTTTTTCTTGAAAGACCAGATGGTAAATATTTGGGGACATGGGGTCTTTGTTGAACCATCTCCTCTCTTCTGCCCTTGGAACTCAAAAGCAACCGGCATGCAGGGCGTGGCTGAGTTCCAGTAAACCTTTATTTACCAAAGTAGGCCTCATGCTGTTTTGGCCCACAGGCGGTATTTTTAGGTATTTTTATTTACACACGTGTGCACCCAAAAAAGTCCTCACTGAGGCGGGCGCAGAGTCACCTTCTGGCTTGTGGTTGACCTGATCTGTCGCATTTCATATCAGGCTTGTGGAGTGGACGTGGACACTGAGTTCTGTCCCATGGTCGTGTGTTCAGTTATTTAAAACACTGCTGAGCTCCTTCCCTCTGTCCCTGTGTTCTAGGCCCCAGGGAACTCG